CTGGTAAGACCTGTTTACCTAACATTTTTTTGGGGTTCAAAAGGTATCCAAGACTGTTTGCTTTGATAAACATGGTAAAAACAAACAACATTTTAATCATTCAGATCACAATCATGGGATTGTCACAATTGTGGATGCACTTTGAAACAGATAACTGTAACACAATTGGTTTCACCCTTCTGTTACAGTTGATAAATATTGTCTTCATCTGATGTTCAATCATCAATGTTTTCATATATTTGCTTATTCAACCTGGAAATCAATCTGAGGTGAATTTATCAACTGACTTGATTTTTTTTACAATTAAAGGGACAAAACATCGACTTTCGGGTCAAGAGTAAGGACTTGAGTTTATTCGTGGAATGAAAAATTTTGTAACCAGTAGTTATCGATAAAATTGAGTTCAAAGAAACTTCGAACGTCTTTTGAAGCCAGATTTTTTCAACAAACTCATTTTTCTGGTGCAACTTCAATGACCAGAAAATGCACTAATTTCGAGGAATAAAATTTTCTGTGTCTGTACAAGAGGCCACTTTGATAATTTTGAATCACTTAACACCAATAAATTGTTTAATTTATCTTCTCATTGATAGCAATTTCCATTGAAATTTAAATATGAATCGCATAAAATGAACATTTTTCAAAATTCACTTTTAATCTCTTTCTAGATTAATTTAATGTGTGTCAATGTGACAAAGGGTGGTCAACTCTCACTGAAGGGTGAGACCTCTCACCATTGACCCAAAAGTATTGGACTTTTACCTTTGACCAGCTGGTTAAACCCACTCCTAGTTTCAGTGAAAGAGGAAAAGGGAAGAGTAAAGAATGAGTATGATAATGATGATAATGATGATGAAGGGTATAAGCAAGAAGAATATAAAAAAGAGTCCCTTTGACCACTTAGGTAAGGTACACCTACGATAAAGGGATTCAAAGGAAGCTGACCGTGGTTATGTTAGGTTATAAAGGTCATGAGATCTGTAGGGTTGCTAATCAATTAATGGCCAGTGAAATAAGGATTGATTTCCTTCACTATGGGCTTTTCCTCTAACAAGTTAAAAGGGTCAATAGGAAGGTAAAAAACTCTTATTATATTATGAAGAGAGAAAAAAAACACGTATAAAAACTAGGTAATGTCCAGTTTGATTTGTTGAAAGATTTTCAACTTTTTTTTCTGTCACTTCCTCAACCTTTTGGAGTGCATTTCACCCTCTTCTGCCCATTACATCTGGTCTAGGGTTGTCTTCCTCTTAACCTACCTGTGATTCAGTTAGACCTTTCGATCATCCAATTGTCTAACTGACCCTTTTGTAGGTTGGTTGGTTAAATAATAAACAGTGTAAACAGGGCTTAATATCAGTTGAATCAGTTAGAGTTAGCATTTCATTTTTATGATTTTTTATCCCATCACTTTTTGTTTCCTCTTCTTGTATAATTTGGGTCCATTTTACTCACCTTTATGGTCATTACCACTAAAAGGTAAAGGGAAAAAGGAAAAGTAAAAATTAAACACAATTGTTGTCTAGTTGGTTAAATTAATATGAGCCGGAAAGTGAATGTAACATTGAATAATTTAACCTTTTTACACTTCATTTTACATTTTGGATTTAAAATTTGAAATTAGCTCGCTAACATTTTGCCGGTTTGGTTATGGGTTTTGATTGGTTAAAGCTTTTGTTTCACTTCACCTCTTACTTTGCGGTAAACACGTTATTTGCTTTGTTATCTTGTTTGTTTTTTTGCTTGATTTTAATTATCTAACTGTTAATTCATAAATTATCATCTTTAGCAACTATTTTTTTTTGTATTTTTTTGCTCTTTTTTTACTTTGGAGGCTTAGACTTGTTTCCGTTTGAATTTTTTTCCTATGAAGATGGACATTGAACAGTAAAGGATAAGAGCGAAATCTGCCTCCTCTTCGATTATTTTGAAACTTCATATGAAGATAGATCTCAGTGCGAGAATTTCAATGATTTAATAAATTTTTTTCTGGGACAAATAAATCGAAAGATATCGGTAAACAATCGAAAAAAACTTTAAAGCCATTTTGAGGCTGAACCACTTATCCGATTTTAGTTTCGATAAGTTTTTTGGATTCGGCATACTCTTATCTATCATAATATTTAGTTATAAAAATAAAATATTTTTTTTCTATTCAGGTGAAAACGGTAGCAACCTTTTAACGCGGCCTAAGAGCTAAATCGCCCGTGAGGAAAACAATTTCATTATTTTTTCTATGTAGTTTTTTATGCTCTATCGATTGATAAATGTTTCATACCCACTATCGCTATGCGTTTTCTGTCAAATCGAGAAAAACTCAGTGAAAGCGGATAAAACGGCCTAAAGTGTATCATACACTGATTTTTTCAACTTTTTTGTTTCGATAACATGTATAACTTTGCCTGATAATTGTATTGACATGAAAAAAAACTTGACTATCGATACTCTTTTTCTAGATAGAAATGACAGTTTTATCCATTGCTCTGAAAAGCAGTCAAGATTGATATTGAGGAAAGATAAGAATATATTTTCTAGTGTATTTCTTTATAAGGAATTTAATGGTAATAAACACCATCAACTTTTTTCTATGCAATGGAGGATAATATTAAAAAACTGAAATGAGAAACTCCAATGTCACTGCATACCATTCTAGATGCTTGCGAGGAAAAGGTTTTTGTCAATTTTCATATGTATTTTTTAGTGGGCTATTCAAAAATGTAAAGCACCATATGGGTCATGCTATGCATTCTTAGTGAATTTTAGAAAAACAAAAATTAAAATTAACAATGCCTCTTCATACTATTATAGATGCTTGCGAGGAAAAGTTTTTTGTCAATTTTCATATGTATTATTCAGTGGGCAATTCAAAAATAGAAAGCACCATATAGGTGATGCTATGCATTCACAAGATATTTTAGAAAAACAGAAATGAAAATTGCCAATGACTCTTCATACCATTCTAGATGCTTGCGAGGAAAAAGTTTTTGTAGATTTTTATATGTATTTTTATAGGCAGTTCAAAAATCATAAACACCATATAGGTGCTGCTATTCATGCTTTTGATTTTTTGGAATTGTGTGCTTCACTTCAGTATTTCATCTTTCATTATCATCTTCATTTTTCGACTTGTGTAAAATTGGACTTAACTTCATTATTTCAGCTTTATAATTATTTTCAACATATTTTTTGGTACCAGAGCTCCGTTCGTATTAACCAGTCACCACCGCGTGGAGGAGGAGTTGGATTTTGATGACCATTGGGTAGTTTTGTTAACCCGGGCACCCTTGCCTACCGGAATTTTTTTGTATTTTTTGTTTTTTATATTTTTTTGGATTTTTGTTTTTATAATTTTTTTGGATTTTTGTTTTTATAATTTTTTTGGATTTTTTATGTTTTATATTTTTTTGGGTTTTTTGTTTTCGGCTTCAATCAATCATCAATATTGGTGCTTTACATTTTTGAATTGCCCACTAAAAAATACATATGAAAATTGACAAAAACCTTTTCCTCGCAAGCATCTATAATAGTATGTAAAGGGATTGGAGTTTTTCATTTCAGTTTTTCTAAAATTCACTGAGAATGCATAGCATGACCCATGTGGTGCTTTCTATTTTTGAATAGCCCACTAAAAAATACATATGAAAATTGACAAAAACCTTTTCCTCGCAAGCATCTAGAATGGTATGCAGTGACATTGGAGTTTCTCATTTCAGTTTTTTAATATTATCCTCCATTGCATAGAAAAAAGTTGATGGTGTTTATTACCATTAAATTCCTTATAAAGAAATACACTAGAAAATATATTCTTATCTTTCCTCAATATCAATCTCGACTGCTTTTCAGAGCAATGGATAAAACTGTCATTTCTATCCGGAAAAAGAGTATCGATAGTCATGTTTTTTTTCATGTCAATACAATTGTCTGGCAAAGTTATACATGTTATCGAAAGAAAAAAGTTGGAAATACCAGTGTATGATACACTTTAGGCCGTTTTATCCGCTTTCACTAAGTTTTTCTCGATTTGACAGAAAACGCATAGCGATAGTGGGTATGAAACCTTTATCAATCGATAGAGAATAAAAAACTACATAGAAAAAATAATGAAATTGTTTTCCTCACGGGCAATTTAGCTCTCAGGCCGCGTTAAAAGGTTGCTATCGTTTTCACCTGAATGGAAAAAAAATATTTTATTTTTTAAACTAAATATTATGATAGATCAGGTTATGCTGAATCCAAAAAACTTATCGAAAGTAAAATCAGATAAGTGGTTCGGCCTCAAAATGGCTTTAAAGTTTTTTTCGATTGTTTACCGATATCTAACGATTTATTAGGCCTAGAGAAATATCTTAATGAACAACATTGTAGAGCTAGATGAGCTCTATCATTATACGAAATTTCAGCAAAATCGGTTAGGAGGCAAATTTTCAATGGGATCCGCTCTCATCCTTTAGAGAAAAGTCGAGAGTTTACTTGTCTTAAGTTTCATCATTAATTTTTGTCCTGCTGGTTGGTGTATTGTTTCTGAATGGTTGGAACTTGGACGTCAATAATTAATTGTTTGGTTTGTTTATGGTAAGTATTTGATAATTAACGATGTTGTTTCGAAATGTTGAAATATTACAAAAGTGGTTTTCGAAATGATGCAAACCTGAAACCGTTGGGCTGTCCTTGTTGTTACTCAATGATTTACAGTTATGAAAATTAATGTTCATTGAGGAAAACCGTTTGTGAATCAAAGTTTTTATTATTATCTCGCAATTAGCCATTCACAATTAGTTAATTGTTTACCATTATAAGTTATAACGATACTTTCTCCTGATAGGTTATCCACTGTAAAGTAAAATTGGTGATTTTGTTTTTTTAAGGGTAAAAACTCTTGGGCCAAAAAAAGAGCGATTGGATTGGTGGAACTAGAACTGGCCCAGGTAACATAGAGTGAGAAGAAATGGAAGATAAGAAAGAGAATTAAGAAAGATGAAGAGAGAGAGAGAGAGAGGTAAAAGAGTGAGAGGATGGGAGAAAATAGAGAGAGACAGAGAGAGTATTTATTCTCGCCAGAGAAAGTGGTTTAACAAGTTTTTTGAATATTGGTTTGTGTGTTAACTTGAAAAAAGTTAAAGTAAGAAAGATAAGTTAATATAAACTTGGACAACAAAGTTACTTCAACACAGAAACCTTTTGACTAATATTCATCTCTTATCACAACCGTTACTTTGTATTTAACCACAGTGAAGAAACTCTGTCAACTCTTTCCAATCAACAATCTTAATTTAAACAATTTAGTGCTTCTGTCTCTTAAGCTTTACAATTTTCTAACTGCTCTTTTATGAGCTTCTTCTGATTTTGTTTGCTAAAATCATATTTTCTGTTCCTCTGTTTAAGACTCAACAAGTACTTAACGTATTCTTGGTTGCCTTACAATGCCGAAAGTATTTTTAATACGTAAAAGACTGAATCTCAAAGAGTCTAATACCCAGTCACAGTGGCGTCCAGTTACTCCACCACCAAGTCCTGAGGACGATGTGAAAGACGATCAACGAAAGAGTGCAAGCTCATCTAAGCAACCGGGTAATCAAGCGACCTCATCACCTAGACCATCCTCAACGGCATCTTCATCAACTTCGTTAAGTTCATCATCTCAACCATCAGATTTATCTGAGGCTTCCTCATCAAGAGCAGAGTCAACTTCATCCAATTTATCATCGGTTCCATCTCCATGTTACACAGTAGAGTCAAACAATTTTAAAGAGCAATCGTTCCCAAGTTGGAGCTCATCAGTAGCACCATCACCATTTAATCGAGTTTCTTCATCTTCACCATCAAATTCACCTTCACCTGTTTTACACCGTAAATATGGTTTAATTGCTCAATCAAATGAAGACGATGTCGATGAACAACTCAGGATTGAAAAACTTACTTTTAACCATGACTCTCAACGTCAATACCACTCTGACAATCAATTCAAAAGTTCAAATGATAAATACCATTTCAAAACTCAGTATCAAAAACAACAGCAACAACATCGTAGACGTCCTTCATCTTTTTCATCGGGATCATCTTGCATGGACAATTCATCTTTGGATTGGTTATCAACTTCAGCATCTCCTGAGCCAATGTCACCGACATGTGTCGAAACTCTATCAAATGAGTCCAATTCACAATGTGCTATTGAAAATTCACCTTCTCCTTCGTCTTCATCCGCATCGTCAGTATCTTCAACTACGGCCTCAATTTGTCAAAGAGTACCTGTAATAAAAAACTTAAATCAAAGCGATGGTCCTCTTAACTTGAAAATATCATCTCAACCAAGAATTACCGTAACTGACAAAATGTATAAAGAGTCAATTGAAAGATCTCGTATTGAATCAAATGGTGAGATTGAACCATCTCTTCCCCCAACAGTTCAACTTCTTGCTCAAAGACTAGGTAAGTTTTTTATCTCCATCAAATAGTTTAACTCAAATCCAACAATCATACTAAATATTCTATTATTTTCAACAGGAATTCCTCTTCACATGTTTAATTCTATTGATTTCGTCAATGGAGGACATGGAATCAAGAATCCTTTACTTTCTAATGGCAATGCTGCGAAAGTTCAGCCAGTTATTCAACCAAGTTTGGATGATCCAATGAAGTGTCCAATATGTGAAAAACGCTTCACATTATCGCGCTTACTTAATCGTCATCTTAAATGTCATTCAGACATAAAACGCTATTTATGCACATTTTGTGGCAAAGGCTTTAATGACACCTTTGATCTTAAAAGGCACACCAGAACTCATACAGGTTAGTACTTTTATTGAAATCTTAACTTTTGACTACTTCAATGAATTATCGTTGAAAATTATGAAACAATTATTCCAGTTAATCTTGATTTTTGCTAATTATTTCTTTTTTCTCTTTTTTCTCTTATTTCTGCCATAATAGGTGTTCGTCCATACAAATGTAATCATTGTGATAAATCATTTACTCAAAGATGCTCTCTCGAATCTCATACTCTTAAAGTCCATGGTATTTCGCACACATATGCATACAAGGAAAGGAGGACAAAAATTTACGTTTGCGAGGAGTGTGGAAATACTACCAATCAACCAGAATCACATTATCTCCATCTTAAACAGAATCATCCTTATTCGCCTGCTTTGGCAAAATTTTACGACAAAAGACATTTCAAATTTAATGATTCTAATTTTCCTTTTGCTGAATGAAAATATCAATCCCATTGTTATCAGTCTCATCATTTGCATCATCCACAATTTTTTTAATTTTATTGATATTTTTTTGGGTGTTATCACCATTTTTGCTGCATTTTTTCACAATTTCTTTTCATCTCAATTGGTTTTTCTGAAACAAGAAAAAATCCACCGCTGATGACAACGATTCTGAGTAATCTGTGTAAATCAATGCAGGCTTATATTTATTATAAGCAAGTTATTGATTTTTCCTGTAAAACTGTAAACTCTATGAAAAACTTTCATTCAGCTAATTTTTTCACTATCATTCAATTGTTTTTTAATTAAGCAACACAATCCTTTCCTTGACTTTTTTAACTATCATGTTAATTGTGTGAACAGATGTTCAATGCAAAAATATCACTTTTTGATGTTGGCAATCGATTCTATTGGATTTGAACAATCAAACAAATTAAAAACTTATCTGTTAATTGTAATTCTCACTTTTATTTATGGTTGCTCTTCAGATCTTGGTTTAATTTTATGGCCATTCTCTAAAATTCCATTATCACTTTTTGCATTTTTTTAATAACTTTGACTTAGGAGATGGAATATATTGTGGGGTTGGTTTACTTCTTTCGGTATCACTTGATTTGGTATTAACTCCTTTCTGTTCTTTGGCACTGTTAACTTTAGATGGAACATATTCTTCCACTTTACGATTGCCATTGTGAGATTTTGAAATAATACTTGGTCGTGTTGGTGAATATTCGCCAACTCTTGGTTTCTTTTTAGGTATCTTATTGGAAACTAATGTTGAGCTTAACGTAGATGAAGTAACTGATGAGCTTGGTGTAACTGGCTTGCTAGGTACAGTTGACTTTTTTGAAGGAATATACTCATCATTTTTTGGTCTACTTGGATTGCTATTAATACTTTTACTCTGTTGTTTTCTCATGTTTTCAAGGATTCGTTTTTCTCTATCCTTTTCGTCTTTAAGGTCAATCTTGGTCTTTTGTGAAGATTTAGATTTACTGCTAGCATAGATTCTTTCTTCTAATTGTCTTCTTTCCTCACGTTTCTTATCTGCTACAGTTTTCCCTGCTTTCTCAGCTTCTTTCTGGGCTTTGATCTTTTCTAGGTATTCTTTCATCTTTTTGATAGTGATGTGCCCTCTTACTTACACCTACATGTACGATAAAGGGACTCAAAGGAAGCTGACCGTGGTTATGTTAGGTCATGGGGTTGCTAATCAATTAATGGCCAGTGAAATGAGGATTGATTTCCTTCCTATTGGTGTCCCTTTGACAAGTTAAAAGGGTCAAGAGAAGGTAAAAAACTCTTATTATGAAAACTAGGTAATGTCCATAGGTACGTAACTGGATTGGTTGAACTAGAGCCGACCCAGGTAACATAGAATCACAAGAAATGGAAGATAAGAAAGAGAATTAAGAAAGATGAAGAGTGAGGTAAAAGAGTGAGAGAATGGGAGAAATAGAGAGCGATCGGGAGAGAGTATTTATTCTCGCCAGAGAAAGTGGTTTTACAAGTCTTTTGAATATTGGTTTGTGTGTTAACTTGAAGAAAGTTAAAGTAAAAAAAGTTTTGATTTGTTTCTGTTTCACTATTTGATAAGACTCGGAAGAGTTCAAAGTTTACTTCAAAATGCCCAAAGTATTTTTAATACGTAAAAGACTGAATCTCAGGCAGTCTAACCAACAGTCTAATCAGCAGTCACAGTGGCGTCCAGTTACTCCACCACCAAGTCCTGAGGACGATCAACCACCACCTTCAGTGTCCTCATCGTACACATCTTCCGATGGTATCTTGACAAGATCACCGACTCCTTCAGAGCTTGAATATGCCAAATCTGATCCTACTTCAGTGTTTTATGTGAGACCACCTTCAGTGTACTCCACCTCAAACGATGGTTACATGACTAGTTCATCAACTACATCTGATGACTTTGGATGTCAGAGTATTCCTTTGGACCTTAAAATGGATTCAAAACCTGTGTACCAAACTATGTTGAGAGACCTTAAGATTGCATCTGAACCAAAAGTAACAGTGACTGAGGAAATGTATCAACAGTCCGTTGCAACTGCTCGTAATGATAAAGATAATGATGGAATCGCAGCTACTTTCGCTCCAACCTTCGAGTCTTTAGCAGAAAAACTGAGTAAGTTATAATTTCTTATGCGTTTCATAAGTTTTTCAGCCAAAAATCAAACTAAATATTTTATTTTTTATCGAACAGGAATTCCTCTTCACATGTTTCGTTCAATTGATTTTGTTAATGGAGGCCATGGAATCAAGAACCCAATACTTTCTAATGCAAATGCTAAGCCAGTTATCCAACCAAGTTTAGATGATCCAATGAAATGTCCAATATGTGAAAAACGCTTCACTTTAACTCGTTTACTTAATCGTCACCTTAAATGTCATTCAGACATAAAACGCTATTTATGCACATTTTGTGGTAAAGGCTTTAATGACACTTTTGATCTCAAAAGACATACCAGAACTCATACAGGTTAGTTATTTTCTGATATTTTATTTACAATAATCAATGAAATTTGGGTAAAGCCAACAAATATTCCAGTTAATCTTGATTATTGCTAATTATTAATATTTCTTTCTTTTTTCCATTTTCTCACATGATAGGTGTTCGTCCATACAAATGTAATCATTGTGATAAATCATTTACTCAAAGATGCTCTCTCGAATCTCATACTCTTAAAGTCCATGGTATTTCGCACACATATGCATACAAGGAAAGGAGGACAAAAATTTACGTTTGCGAGGAGTGTGGAAACACTACCGATCAACCAGAATCGCATTATCTCCATCTTAAACAGAATCATCCTTATTCGCCTGCTTTGGCAAAATTTTACGACAAAAGGCATTTCAAGTTTAATGATACCAACTTTCCCTTTGCTGAATGAAAATATCAGTTCCTCGACCAATTCCATTGTTATCAGTCTCATCATTTGCATCAACTACAATTTTTTTTTAATTTTATTGATATTTTTTGGGTGTTATCACCATTTTTCTATCTTTTTTCTCACAATCTCTTTACATCTCGATTGGCTTGAAATCCACCGCTAATGACAACGATTCTGAGTAATCTGTTTAATTATTATAAGCAAGCTATTGATTTTGCCTTTAAAACAGGAAATCTTTTCATTATCAATCAATTGTTTTTTAATTAATCAAAATCTCTTGCGTAATTTTTTCAAACTATCATGTTAATTGTGTGAACAGATGTTCAATGCAAAATTTTCATTACACTTTTTGATGGCAATCGATCTTATTGGATTTGAACAATCAAACAAATTAAAAACTGATCTGTTAATTTTCATTTCACTTTATTTATGCTCTTCGAACGATCAGTCATGAGGTTGACTAGATGTTTTGAAGATTCGCTTTAGCCATCGTTAGCAATTTTGAGCCCTAGTGTTGGTACCATTAGTATTGTACAGGTTAATATAGAGGTAGAAGAAAGACAAGAAAGATTAATCATTCTCGCCAAGGAATTTGGTTCATTGGTTCAACAAATCTTTGTAAATAAGCTTGAAGCCAATCAGAGCATTATCTTTAGAACATTGCTTCTCATTCATCTCAATGCATGCTAAAATGAACTAAAAATCAGAATCAGATTCTGAGGAATTGAATAAAGTGTTGATTTCAACATTAGCCAGAACCATAAATGTAACTCGAACCGAAACTCTTCACTATTACCAGCCTATCTAGCTTTTGATGAAATTAAGAAAAAATCTGACAAATGGATGCATTGGGTAAGCAGTATTAAAATCTTTCTTACACATAGATTTGAAATTTTCTCATGATTTATTCATATTTTCAGAAATTCGCTAATTTATTTTCGGCTTTTGTGGAAAGCTTCCGTCCTGTTGCTCAGATGGTTTCAATCATTAATCGTTCCAAGCTCTTACCAATTGTTGGATATTCCTCAACCTTAAACCAATCTTGGCAATTGAATGCAGCCACAGCCGCATTCGACCTCAAAGGCCTTTTACCTTATAACAACGAGCTTACAAGACCTCAGATAGGCTTGTTGCGATAGGTCTTGGAACAGCCTTATTCTCGTGAAATGATTTACTTTATGTTGAGTCTGACTAATAAAGCAAAATCCCGCTGTCCTATTCTTGAAGAACAATTGGTTGCATTGATTGTATTGGCAATGGAAAAGTCTGAAAACGAAACGAACAATCAAGAGGACACTGACTATAGTCAAACTCAGTGCCTTTGGCAAATATTATCTGGCCATTTGATAACTTTCATCATATTAAACCATATAAGTTTCCCACAGCTTGTACGAAGCCTTCATGAATCATTGGCTGCTCGAAATTCAAAAAAGGCCGAGATCATCTAATGTGGATGCTTATAATATATTTCATTCAGAAGACTCCTCTAACAGATTTCTTACCCTTCTTCAAACTTCATGATCTACTCTACCCTGAAAAGGATCCTCTTCCTGTTCCCGATATAACTAAACCTATCTGCACTCATACTTTCGCGATCAGTTCCATTTGGATTCGTTTGTTAAAGAAAGCAGAAAATGAACCTCAAAAGATGAGCGTCCATTTCCAAATTGTCTCAGGCTTCAGTTGAATTTCTTCACCAAACTTTTATAGCCAATGATCTACCCGCCAGTTTAACGGTTGATTCTAAAATTCCTCTTATTTGTAATGCTTATTCTACCAATAGTGATTATTACAACCGAATTTTAACGATTTTATGTGACACGATTAAATGCAATATCAGAACACAATCTTGGGGAACTCTTAATATTCTCTTCGAAATGTTCATCCATCGTTTACACCACATACCTGCTCCTTATCGAGTTCTATTCTTGAACCAACTGCATTATTTAGCTAATTCACCTCATAGTAATCAAATTCAACTGCATTCATGCATGGAAAGTACAGCTTTAAAACTAATCACAGGATTAACTTCAGAACAAGTATTGCTCATCACTCAACTCAACCGATATCAAAATGAACCAAAAATAAGGATCTCTCATGACTCAGAGGAACTGAATAAAGTGTTGATTCTAACATTAGCAAGAGCCATTCATGTAACTGGTTGTGATACTTTGATGAAAAGTGCAAAGAGTTGTCCAACATCATGAATAGCACTCCTTTGTCCTTTTCCGTTACCCATTGCACTGAGTTACGTTGATGGCAGATTCTTATATTCAAACGTTTGACACCAACTTGAATGAATGGTCAAGAAGTTTCGTTACCTGGAATCATTCGTGAGACAGTGAAGATAAGACTTAAAGACTTCTTGGCCAATTTAAACCAACTCATTTTTTGATATTGCCATTGAATTGCATTGTATTTTAATAATAAACAAATTTCAAGCTGACACTTTAATTGTAATTCTCCCTTTTATCTCTATTCCTTAAAAAAACCATGAGGTTAACAACAACTTGTTTTCAACAAGTTTGAAAAATCACTATAGCTACCATTAGTAATCCTGGTTTTGTATCCAAGGTAATAGAGAGTTAAAAGAGCTAGAAAGCGGGAGAATGAAAACGAGAAAGAGAAAGAGACAGAGAAGTAGTTGTTCTCGCTAGTAAGAAAGTGGTTCATTGAGTTGCCTCAAAACTTTTGACTATTATTCATCTCCGCATCAAGACCGTTACTTTGTATTTTACCACTGTGAATAAACTCTGCCAACTCTATACAACCAAAAACAAATTTTAATTTCGTGCTACATCACAATGCCAAGGTCATTTTTAATACGTAAAAGAATGAATCTCAGGCAGTCTAACCAGCCGTCTAACCAACAGTCTAACCAACAAGCTAACCAGCAGTCTAATCAGCAGCCTAAGCAGCAATCACAGTGGCGTCCAGTTACTCCACCACCAAGTCCTGAGGATGCAAAACCATCACCATCAATGTCAACATCGTACACCTGCTCCAGTTCATCGAATACTTCATCATCATCTGATGTCAGTGAACACCAGAGTGTTGTGTTAAACCTTAAAGTGGGTCCAAAACCTATGCACCATGCAGCCAAAAAGATTAAGTCTGAACCTAAAGTTGTTGTTACTGAGGAAATGTACCAGCAGTCCGTTGAAACTGCTCGCAATAGTAAAGATGGTAGTAATGATGGGATCCCAGCTACCTTTGCTCCAAGCTTCAGGTCTCTAGCACAAAAGCTGAGTAAGTAAAACATGATTTCTTGGGCATTTATTGTTTACAACCAAACTAAATATTTTTTTTTCTCAACAGAAATTCCTCTTCACATGTTTAGTTCTGTCGATTTTGTTAATGGCGGCCATGGAATAAAGAATCCAGTACTGGCTGCTCAGCCAGTTATTCAACCAAATTTGGATGATCCGATGAAATGCCCAGTCTGTGATAAACAATTCAATTTGTCTCGTTTGCTTAATCGTCACCTTAAATGCCATTCAGACGTGAAACGATTTTTATGTACATTTTGTGGCAAAGGCTTTAATGATACCTTTGATCTTAAAAGGCACACCAGAACTCATACAGGTTAGTAATTTTCTGATATTTTATTTACACTGATCTGTTTCAATGAAATTTGGGTGAAAAATTGCAACAAGTTTTTACCAGATTGGAAAGTTTTAATGAAAGAAGCGAAAGTCGCCGTTAATTAGTCACTGGTCTTGTTAAACCAGTAAATATTTCAAGAGAAAGGGAAACGTATTTATCTATAATAGGAATCTTAGAGGTAAAAGTGAAAATCCTTTCAAGATGGTCAACTCTTTCCTTAACTAAGGCCAAAAACAGCTACAAATAAATGAAGGCAAGAAACAAGTGGAAAGGAGAAAAAGGATAAAGAAAGAATAAGCTGGCTTAAAGGAAAGAGACCAGTTTTACTGTCCATTTCTTTTATTACCCTTAGCCGTTATTTTACTTGACCATTTTCTCTTCCTTCTCTATCCACCTCCTACTCTTCCACCTTTTCAACTTTCACTTGAAATCTTTAGACTTTTTCCCCCAATTTTACTTTGTTTTCAACGTTTGGGCTAAAATCTTTTTCTTTGTAAACTCAATTTCCCAAAGTTGTTTTGCGCTCTTTTCCAAGGAAAATAAGATAAACTTTTTCTTGTTTCTTTTTTTTGCTTTCTTTAAACCCAAAAACTCTAACGAAAGAAAGAAAAGAAGTAAGAAATATAATTACCGGTCCAACCCATAAAAACTGTATCTTTGTAAATGTAAACGTTATTCCAGTAAATCTTGATTATTGCTAATTATTTCTTTTTTCTCTAATTTCTCACATAATAGGTGTTCGTCCATACAAATGTAATCATTGTGATAAATCATTTACTCAAAGATGCTCTCTCGAATCTCATACTCTTAAAGTCCATGGTATTTCGCACACATATGCATACAAGGAAAGGAGGACAAAAATATACGTTTGCGAGGCGTGTGGAAACACTACCGATAAACCGGAATCACATTATCTCCATCTTAAACAGAATCATCCTGATTCTCCTGCTTTGGCAAAATTTTACGACAAAAGACATTTCAAATTTAATGATACCAACTTTCCCTTTGCTGAATGAAAATATCAATTCCTCGATCAATTCCATTGTTATCAGTCTCATCATTTGCATCATCCACAATTTTTTTAATTTATTGACATTATTTGGATGCTATCACCATTTTTGCTGCATTTTTTACGATCTCCTTACATTTCAATTTTTTTAAACAAGAAAAAATTAACCGCTGATGACTACGATTCTGAGTAATCTGTTTAATAATTATAAGCAATCTATTGATTTTGGCTTAAAAACTGGAAACTCTATGTAAAACAATCATTAAGCTAATCTTTTCATCTATCCATTCATCTCCTCATTGACTTTTTTGAATTTTCATGTTAATTGTAAGAACATTTGTTCAATGCAAAAATATTCAAATCAATTTTTGATATGGCAATCGATTATGTTGCATTTGAACAATCGTAAAAATTAAAACCTGTTCTGTTAATTGTAATTCTCACTTTTATTTCTAATTTTGAATGACCAATCATAAAGTTGACTAAAAGCTTTGAGGATTCGCTATACCCATCGTTAGTAATTTCGAGCCCTTGTGATGGTGCAATTATCGCTAATCAACCAAACGATACTAAAAACCAGGATCCCTCAAAGCTTCGAGGAATTGAATGAAGTGTTGATCTAACATCAGCCAGAGTTATTCAATATTATTTGTATTGACTTTTGATTTTCTCCAGATTCTGATATCTTAATAAAGTGATGCACAAATCGTATTACTTTAGCTATTACCAGTGGCTGCCGATTTCGCTAATAATTTGATTGATTTGTTGTTGTACGAAACCATTCCGAGAAATACTATTGAGTTCTGAAAAAATGCTATTGGTATTGTATTAACGGCTTTACCAGAAGTAATGAGGGTTTATTTTCAACTATCCATCTGACAAATGACACCGATTCCTCAGTTTCTTCGTGAACTTCTTCGAAACATTTATTAAACCAATTTCTTTACATTGTCCATATTGTTTGTCATATTAAAAAAAGGGCAACTTAAACATTGTCCTGCAATTTCACATTCAAATTATTTTGTATTGTACTTCTTGATTCATGAGCCACATGGGTAGACACATACAAATACATGATAGAAACTCTCAGTATCATAAGCTGAATACAAATTTAAAGTTTTGCTCGCTTTTACTCTTGCATTTGACTAATTTTAATGTCATTAAGTGTTCAAAATTATAAAGCAAAGAAAAAGAATCAAATATGGATCAATTTTATTTCATTTCACTATTTAGTTTCATTGGAATCAATTCCATTTTCCAAATAATAAGAAATAGCTTTTTTTTACTTTCATTAGCCAACAAACGAAGCTTCGTTTTATAACGAATGGAAAGGTACATTACATTTTACATTTATTTTATTATCAAAAATTGTTGTATATTATCGATGAGGTTATAAATATTTTAATCCTTTGTAAACAACTTGGATTAGTGGTCAAGAGTTTTCATCACCTCAGGCTAACGGTGACACAGTGAAGATAAAATACTTAAAAAACTGACCAAATATGAAACCTTTGGTTAACACAGACGCGTGTTAAAAGAATCTCATTATTCAATCTAACTTCGAGTATAGGAAAATTGAACTTCATGAGCATTTATTCCAGTCAACTAGATTTTAAAATAATTTTATATTTACATTGGTTAATTTAACGTTGGAATAGCACTGGATATTATTGATAAGATTCTTAATTTTTTAAACATTTTCTTCGGATTAGTGATCTAGTTGTTTCAATACCTGGGGTCATTCGAGAGTAGATACAAAATAAACGGTTTAAAGTATTCATGGGCGGTGAGAATGGGCGACTATAAAAGGGCTAAAAAAGTCAAAGAAACAATCATAAAAAATTTATCATCCGAGTGTGTTTGTTCAAATTCAATTCAACATGTCCAGTGTATTCAAATCATCTCATCTAGAAAACCTCTACTTGTTAGCAGAGGTTAGCGTTCGCAGACTCGCTGAAGAGCGCGAGCTTGCCAAGTGTGATCCATCCTCTGTGTTTTATGTGCCTCAAAAATCAACCTCTTCTTCTTATCACCAGTGCAATTCAAGTGACCATTTGATGGATTTCTCATTCTCACCATATAAATCTGAATCTGATGACGATCAGTATCAGAGTGCACCTCTCAACCTAAAAATATCTGCAGAACCAATGCAGGAAGATGTGGTTCAAGAGCCCGAACCTGAGCCAGAGCTCGACTCAGAATCAGAGTCAGAACCTGAACCTGAACGACCGGTCACCATAACAGATCTTGAGTCAGAATCAGAGTCTGAATCTGAATCTGAACGACCACTTACCATAACTGATGAAATGTACGAGCAGGCCGTTGCAACTGCTCGTAATGATGGATATGATGAAGGACGAGCAAGTTTCGCACCTGACTTGGAGTCTCTTGCTAAAAAACTAAGTAAGTTTATTCAACAATCAGTTGAAGTCAGTGATTTATTTTGCATCTCATTACTTTTGTATCTAACAATCAAACTAAATATTTTATCTTTACTCAACAGAAATTCCTCTTCGAGTGTTCCGTTCTATTGAATTTGTTAATGGAGGCCATGGAATCAAGAATCCAATCCTTTCACATGGAAAGCTTAAACCAGCTATACAGCCAAGTTTGGATGACCCCTTGAAGTGCCCAGTGTGTTCGCAACGCTTCGCCAAACCTCGATGTCTTAAGCGTCATCTTAAAAATCATTCAGACGTAAAAGAATATTTGTGTACATTTTGTGGAAAAGGCTTTAATGACACCTTTGATCTCAAAAAACATACCAGAACTCATACAGGTAAGTTATTTTAATGAAATCTCAACTTTTAACCATTTCAATGAATTTTTGTTGAAAATTATGAACAATTATTCCAGTTAATCTTGATTATTGCTAATTATTTCTTTTTTCTCTTTTTTCTCTAATTTCTGCCATAATAGGTGTTCGCCCATACAAATGTGACCATTGTGAAAAATCATTTGCTCAACGATGTTCCCTCGAATCTCATACTTTTAAAATCCACGGTATTTCGCATTCTTATGCATACAGAGAAAGGAGGACAAAATTGTACGTTTGCGAAGCGTGTGGAAACACTACCAATAAACCAGAAACACATTATCTGCATCTTAAAAATAATCATCCTGATTCTCCCGCTTTGGCTAAAGTCAACGACAGACGATTTTTCAAGTTTGATGATCCTGATTTCCCCTTTGCTGAATGAAAATATCAATTCCTTGCCCAATTTACACCAACTTATTTTTTTTGATAGTGCCATATATTGCCATTGTATTATATTGGTTTGAATAATAAACAAATTTCAAGCTGACACGCTTATTGTCATTATCACTTTCATTTCTATTCCCTAAACAACCATGAGGTTGAAAATCACCTTTATTAATCTGATTTTGAGAGGTTACTATTACATTTATTTATGAATTTTCAATTCAGAAAGAAGATAGAATACAAAATTATACATAATTTTATAATTACATGTTTCGGAAAATTAGTAGAAGTGTTTTTATGATTGTTATATTGAGATGGGTAATAAAACGAAGTCGCTTTTGCAAAGCAGGCCTGAGATTACGAATTTTTCCTTCAACATCATTTTTGATAGAGTCGCCAGTTATATGGTATTTCATATGGTATAAAAGGTCAGTGGTGTATAAGGTGAATCCATAAAACGCAACTCAGTGCAATTTTTATCAATAGTCTCGAGAAAAGAGTTAAACTCGATAGTAACTTCCATAGCTCTACGTGTTCGCTCAGCATAAGGTATGAACAGTAATGTTTTGGCCTAATAATTCAAAATAAAATTGCGACAGTTAGACTAGACTTAGAGTCTTTGGAGGAAAGGACAAACAATGTGAACAATGAAAAAAAATTGTTCTTCAGTTTTAATAATTGGCTTGACTCGTTCACGAAGCAATTAAAGCAATTGAATAACTTGGTTGCATTTCTGACATAGATTTATGGCTATCAGAAAAGTTCATCATTTGAAATGGTTCAGGGTGAGGTGAATAAGTTAAAAGAGGACTTTCCATCATACTTATGATCCGATCATTGATAACAGACCAGTATGCTTCTGGTAAAGCTGTTAATACAACACCAATCGCATTGTTCCAGAACTCGATAGTATTTCTTGGAATGTATTTGTGACCAACAACAACAAGATCAATCAAATTATTGGCAACGACATTGGCAGCCACTGGTAATGCCATGAGTTCAATGCATGTAATATGAAGAGCATGAACACCAGCATTGGCAAATTCATTGAAACGCCAATCAACATGTGGAAATGGAGATTTACCTTGAAAAGTATCAACTACTCTACTAATTAGTTTATAATAATAGTCTAACTCAGGATTCCAGGCTAAATCTTCAACAGGACGCTTCATGTAATTCAAGTATGCGTCAGTAACAGCCCAGTTCGCTGGTTTAATGTCTTTAAAAGCACCAATTATGATTGAAACAAGTTTACGTCGAAGTGTGGGTCTTTCTCGCATTTTATGCTCATAATAGTGTAATGTTTCATACAAATAGGTTAATGGACGATCATGAAATTTATCAAGGCAACCATATTTCTCTAGCAATGAGTCAATCAATGGACTTGGTGATCCTGGTGGCAGTTCAAGATAGCGATGAATGATCAAGTCAAGAACAGGTATAAAACGAAGACAAATATTGCTAAAATAAGTTGGCAGATATGAATGTTGCATATTTTGACCACTTATATCTGCGTGTCCTTCGAAATAAAATTTTTCTGGATATTTCTGTGAAAAAAGTAATTGAAAGATTAAAATTATTGATATGCGAATGAGAAATTTCAAGATGAATATCATTTATGTCAATGAATTTCAGAATTGAAAATACCTTAATTCATAGACAACGCATTGAGATTTTCTTGAAAAGTCTTACTCTGTGTAAAGCGTGATGGTTTCTGTGCCAATTTGATTGCTTCCAGTGTTCCGGAGACATTTCTCTGACAAAATCAGCAACTCGATTGGAAAAATCAGTCGTTTTGAGCAATAACATTTGAATGATAAACAAAGAAACTTGGGCTTCATTACCTTCGTAAGCTCTCAGAGTCTGTAAGAAAATCAAGTTAAGTAAAAACAAATTATTAATCTATGAAACGCTGAATGGTAAAATTAAAATTTCAAAATAAAATAATTACCAGACATAAAAGTAATCTGTCCAAAGTTATGACATGACTCTTCCAAATTAAATCATTCAATTTATCAATATATTTAGTAACATTTTGGGTCCCACAGAGATTTGTAAATTCATCTCCAATTCTGTCCAAAATTTTGTATGCTATTGGATTGATTCGATCATTCTCAAGAATCATTTTCCATAAAAGACACAGAAATAACGGAGGAGTTCCTTGGATTGAAAAATGGGCGATTATATCGTTTTACTTACTCATTGTTATCCACTTTCGGTAAAACTCTTGGGCCAAAAAAGAGCGATTGGATTGGTGGAACTAGAACTGGCCCAGGTAACATAGAGTGAGAAGAAATGGAAGATAAGAAAGAGAATCAAGAAAGATGAAGAGAGAGAGAGAGAGGTAAAAGAGTGAGAGGATGGGAGAAAATAGAGAGAGACAGAGAGAGTATTTATTCTCGCCAGAGAAAGTGGTTCACAAGTTTTTTGAATATTGGTTTGTGTGTTAACTTGAAAAAAGTTAAGTTAATATTTAGTTCTGTCTCTTAAGACATAAAAAGTACTTGGTTGCCTAACAATGCCGAGAGTATTTTTAATTAAAAGACTGAATCTCAAAGAGTCTAACCACCAGTCACAGTGGAGTCCAGTTACTCCACCACCAAGTCCTGAGGACGATGTGAAAGACGATCACCGAAAGAGTGCAAGCACAAGTTGGTTATCAACTTCAGCATCTCCTGAGCCAATGTCACCGACATGTGTCGATGAAACTCTATCAAATGAGTCCAATTCACAATGTGCTATTGAAAATTCACCTTCTCCTTCGTCTTCATCCGCATCGTCAGTATCTTCAACTACGGCCTCAATTTGTCAACGAGTACCTGTAATAAAAAACTTAAATCAAAGCGATGGCCCTCTTAACTTGAAAGTATCATCTCAACCAAGAATTACCGTAACTGACAAAATGTATCAAGAGTCAATTGAAAGATCTCGTAGTGAATCTAATGGTGAGATTGAACCATCTCTTCCCCCAACAGTTCAACTTCTTGCTCAAAGACTAGGTAAGTTTTTTATCTCCATCAAATAGTTTAACTCAAATCCAACAATCAAACTAAATATTTTATTCTCAACAGGAATTTCTCTTCACATGTTTAATTCTATTGATTTCGTCAATGGAGGACATGGAATCAAGAATCCTTTACTTTTTAATGGCAATGCTGCTAAAGTTCAGCCAGTTATTCAACCAAGTGCGGATGATCCAATGAAGTGTCCAATATGTGAAAAACGATTTACTTTAACTCGCTTACTCAATCGCCACCTTAAATGTCATTCAGACATCAAATGTTATTTATGCACATTTTGTGGTAAAGGCTTTAATGACACCTTTGATCTTAAAAGGCACACCAGAACTCATACAGGTAAGTTATTTTATTGTTATCTTTACTTTTGACTACTTCAATGAATTATCGTTGAAAATTATGAAACAATTATTCATTCTTGATTTTTGCTAATTTTCTCTTTTTTCTCTTATTTGTACCATAATAGGTGTTCGTCCATACAAATGTGACCATTGTGATAAATCATTCACTCAAAGATGCTCTCTCGAATCTCATACTCTTAAAGTCCATGGTATTTCGCACACATATGCATATAAAGAAAGGAGGACAAAAATTTACGTTTGCGAGGAGTGTGGAAACACTACCAATGAACCGGAATCACATTATCTCCATCTTAAACAGAATCATCCTTATTCGCCTGCTTTGACAAAATTTTACGACAAAAGACTTTTCAAATTTAATGATTCCAATTTTCCTTTTGCTGAATGAAAATATCAATTCCTCGACCATGATTGCTAAAATAAGTTGGCAGATATGAATGTTGCATCTTTTGACCGCTGATATCTGCGTGTCCTGCGGAATAAAATTTTTCTGGATATTTCTGTGAAAAAAGTAATTGAAAGATTAAAATTATTGATATGCGAATGAGAAATTTCAAGATGAATATCATTTATGTCAATGAATTTCAGAATTGAAAATACCTTAATTCATAGACAACGCATTGAGATTTTCTTGAAAAGTCTTACTATGTGTAAAGCGTGATGGTTTCTGTGCCAATTTGATTGCTTCCAGTGTTCCGGAGACATTTCTCTGACAAAATCAGCAACTCGATTGGAAAAATCAGTCCTTTTCAGCAATAACATTTGAATGAAAAACAAAGAAACTTGAGCTTCATTACCTTCGTAAGCTCTCAGAGTCTGTAAGAAAATCAAGTTAAGTAAAAACAAATTATTAATCTATGAAACGCTGAATGGTAAAATTAAAATTTCAAAATAAAATAATTACCAGACATAAAAGTAATCTGTCCAAAGTTATGACATGACTCTTCCAAATTAAATCATTCAATTTATCAATATATTTAGTAACATTCTGAGTCCCACAGAGATTTGTAAATTCATTAACGAGATAGTCCACCAAGATTCTTAAATGAGAAGATAAAGCTTTGGCTCCAAAATTTTGTATGCTATTGGATTGATTCGATCATTCTCAAGAATCATTCAAAATTGGCGGGTAGATCACTGCTCATAAAAGTTTGGTGAAGAAATTCAACATGAATCGGTCTTATCACCTTTTGAGGTTCATTTTCTGCTTTCTTTAACAAATGAATCCAAATGGAACTGATCGCGAAAGTATGAGTGCAGATAGGTTTAGTTATATCGGGACCAGTAAGAGGATCCTTTTCAGGGTAGAGTAAATCATGAAGTTTGAAGAATGGTAAGAAATCTGTTAGAGGAGTCTTCTGAATGGAACCAGAAATATATTGAAGAAGCATCCACATTAGATGATCTCGTCCTTTTTTTGAATTTCGAGCAGCCAATGATTCATGAAGGCTTCGCACAAGCTGTGGAAAACTTATATGGTTTAGTATGATGAAAGTTATCAAATGGCCAGATAGTATTTGCCAAAGGCACTGAGTTTGACTATAGTCAGTTTCCTCTTGATTGTTCGTTTCATTTTCAGACTTTTCCATTGCCAATACAATCAATGCAACCAATTGTTCTTCAAGAATAGGACAGCGGGATTTAGCTTTATTAGTCAGACTCAACATAAAGTAAATCATTTCACGAGAATAAGGCTGTTCCAAGACATATCGCAACAAGCCTATCTGAGGTCTTGTAAGCTCGTTGTTATAAGGTAAAAGACCTTTGAGGTCGAATGCGGCTGTGGCTGCATTCAATTGCCAAGATTGGTTTAAGGTTGAGGAATATCCAACAATTGGTAAGAGCTTGGAACGATTAATGATTGAAACCATCTGAGCAACAGGACGGAAGCTTTCCACAAAAGCCGAAAATAAATCAGCGAATTTCTGAAAATATCAATAAATCATGAGAAAATTTCAAATCTATTTTTAAGAAAGATTTTAATACTGCTTACCCAATGCATCCATTTGTCAGATTTTTTCTTAATTTCATCAAAAGCTAGATAGGCTGGCAATACTGAAGAGTTTCGGTTCAAGGCATAATCCAAGACCTAAGAATGTGAATATAGATGATGCGATTATAAAAACAAATTAAAACAAATCTTTAATAATAAATATTTACCTTACGCATAACATCTAATTGCGGTAGCATAGCAATATTTGCCTCAATGGGAATTGTGTGGATTTTCTCGATCATAAATCTGATTATATCTCTGACACCTTTATAGTCCACTTGAGAAATTACTCGATGAATTAACTCGAAAGATTGGCAAAAAAATATTTGCTTATTGAAATGAAGATGTTCACAATTGAGAATGGCTTCACAAACAGATCTGAGGAACTGAGCCGGACAAACCGGATTACCTCATTCTTAATATTTTAATCCTTAGCAAATAGCACTGTATATTATCGATAAGACGGTTAATATTTTAATCCTTTCCTTCGGGTTAGTGATCTAGAGGTTTCGATACCTGGGGTCATGCGGGAGTAGAGGTGAAATAAACGGTTTAAACCATTCATGGGCGGTGAGAATGGGCGACTATAAAAGAGCTAAAAAATTCAAAGAACCAACCATTAAAAATTCATCGATCGACTAAGTTAGTTGAAATATCAGTGAAAATGTCTAGTCAATTCATCCCTTCTCCTCTTGACGTGTTAGCTGAGGCTAGTGTTCAAAGACTTGCTGAAGAGCGAGAGAAAGCCAAATTTGATCCATCCTCAGTGTTTTATGGGCTTGGACAATCACCGTCTTTTTCTTATCAACCAAGTACCTCAAGTGACGATGCAATGGACATCACTAGTGATGCTGATGACAGTCAACTCTTGGATTCATCGTTTTGTGAATATCAACAATCATTCTTACACGACGTTTGGGAAACTTCAGATGACGATATATTCAAATCTGATCCATCCTCAGTGTTTGATGTGCCTGAACAATCACCGTCTTCTTCTTATCAACCGAGTACCCTAAATGACGAGGGAATGAATACCACTAGTGATTCTGATGACATTCAAGACCTGGAATCATCGTTTTGTGAATATAAACAATCATTCTTATACGACATTTACGGCACTTCAGATGACGATTCTTTGGACTCGTCATTTTCATGTAAATCTGATATCACGTCGGACCTTGAAGTTCATGGTATTTCGCACACATACAAGGAAAGGAGGAGAATAAAAATTTACATTTGTGAAGAGTGTGGATACACTACCAATCAACCGGAATCTTATTATCCTCATGTTAAACAGAATCATCCTGATTCGCATGTTTTGGAAAAATCTTACGACTTTGGCACTTCAGATGACAGTTCTTTGGACTCGACATTTTCATCATGCAAATCTGATATCACATCGGACCTTGAAGTCAATAGTATTTCGCACACATACAAGGAAAGGAGGAGAATAAAAAAAATTTTTATTTGCGAAGCGTGTGGAAACAGAACCAATGAACCGGAATTACATTATCTCCATCTATTACAGAATCATCCTTATTCTCCTGCTTTGGAAGAATTTTTCGACTAAAAACATTTCAATTTTCTTTTTGCTGAATGAACTTTTGCTGAATGAAAATATCAATTTCTTTGCCAATTCATGTAAACTCACTTTATTGTACTCCCTTGTATTATTTTTTATCTGAAACTGATACGTTAATTGCTTTTCTCACTTTTATTCCTACTCCTTGAGTTGCCAATCATGAGGCTGACTAAAAGTTTTGCGAATTCACTAAAGTCATCGTTGGTAATGTCATTTTGAGCCTGTTGTGTTGGTACAATTAGTATTGTAAAAGAGAGAAAAGAAAAAAGCAGAAAAGTACTCATTCTAGTGCCCAAATTGTGGTTCATTGATTTAACACATAAACCTTTGTAACCAAAAATGAACACAAACTAACTGAGCTAAATACAGGATTCACTGATTTTTAGAATGGGCACTGATCGCTCATGATGTCATGCTCATCTCTCAACTTAACTGATGTCAAAAACCAGGCTCTCTCATGATGGCGAGGAATTGAATAAAGTGTTGATTTAATATCAGCCAGAGTCATTCAATATTCACTTTTTATTTGCTTAAAGATTCTGATATCTTACATCTTGTAATAAAGTAACACACACATCATATTACTTAAGCTATTACCAGTGGCCGCCGATGTCGCCGCTAATAATTTGACTGATCTGCTGTTGTTTATCACAAAACCAATCCAATAATTTCCTTTGAGTTCTGGAACAATGCTATTGTTGTTGTGCTTTACCAGAAGCAATCATGGTTTATTATCAATTATAAATCTGACAAATAATAACGATTCCTCAGTTTCTTCGTGAACGAGTTAAAACAATTTCTTTTCATTGTCCATATTGTTTGTCATATAAAAAACGGCAACGCAAACATTTTCCTGTAAAAGTTTTTCCCGATTTTACTCTTGGATTTGACTAATTTTAGTGTCATTAAATATACAAAGTTATAAAGGAAAGAGAAAGAATCCAATACAAATCAATTTTATTTCATTTCACTATTTACATGTAGTTTCATTGAAATCAATCCCCTTTGCAAATAATATGATTTTTTTGCATTTTTATCAGCCAAAGAACGAAGCTTCGTTTAACGACGAATGGAAGAACAGTATATTTACATTTTTTTATTTTACGATCAAAAATTATTGTATATTATCGATGAGGTTCTAAACATTTTAATCCACTGAAAAAAACTCGAATTAGTGGTCAAGAGTTTTCATTACCTCATTCTTAATATTTTAACATTTTCTTCGGATTAGTGATCTAGAGGTTTCAATACCAGAGGTCATTCGGGAGTAGATGTGAAATAAACGGTTTAAACCATTCATGGGCGGTGAGAATGGGCGACTATAAAAGGACTAAAAAAGTCAAAGAACCAACCATAAAAAATTTATCAATCGACTAAGTTTGTTGAAATTTCACTAAAAATGTCTAGTCAATTCGTACCTTCACCTCTTTACGTGTTAGCAGAGATTAGCTCCCAGAGACTCGCAGAAGAGCGAGAAAAAGCTAAAACTGATCCATCTTCAGTGTTTTATGGGCCTGGACAAATAACCCCGTCATACTATGAGCCGAGTACCTCAAGCGATGAGTCAATGGATTCTACTAATGATGCACACGATGCTAATAACAGTCAATGTCCTAACTCAGTGTTTTGTGAGGATGGAATGTCAACAAATTCATCTTACGATTCGGAAACCTCCGAAGATTTTCTTGATTCGACATCTTCAGCATACAGTTCTGAGAATAGCGATATGGAGGATATTCCGTTAGACCTTAGAGTGAGGTCATCCTTATAAATGTGACCATTGGGAAAAATCATTCACTCAAAGATGTGTCCTCGAATCTTATACTCTTACGGTCCATGGTATTTCGCATACACATGCTTACGAAGAAAGGAGGACAAGAATAAAATTTTCGAAGCGTTTGTAAACACTACCGATCAACCGCAATCACATTATCTTCATCTTAAACAGAATCATCTTGATTCTCCTGATTTGCAAAGAATCAAAGACAAAAGACATTTAAAGTTTAATGATTCACTCTCCCCTTTGCTAAATGTAAATATCATTTCCTTGACCAATTTAGACCAACTTATTTTTATATTGTATTATATTGCACTTGAATAATAAACTAATTTCTAACTTACAATTATCTTTTATTCCTATTTAAACAACTATAAGGTTGAAATATTTATATCAATTTTTGATATTGACGATCGATTATGTTCATTTGAATAACCAAAAATATTAAAAACTGTTTTGTTAATTGCCTTTTCACTTTTATTCCTACTCTTTGCATGATGATATTGACTGAGAGCTTCTGGCGATTTGCTATGCCATCGTTAGTGCTTTCGAGCCTGTTGTGTTGGTTCAATTAGCACGGTTCAGGTTAATATAGAGATAGAAGAGAGACAAGAGGCAGAGAAGTTCTCATTTACTAAAGTAAGTGCTCAAGAAATATGGTTCATTGATTCAACACATAAATCTTAGTAACGAAAAATGAACAATAAACTAACTAATCTAAACACAGGATTCCCTTATGCTCAGAATGTATTGCTAATCGCAAAACTCAACTGGTATTAAAACCAGGCTCTCTCATAACTCCGAGGAATTGAATAAAGTGTTGATTTAATATCAGCCAGAGTCATTCAATATTATTTGTGACAACTTTTGATTTGCTCAAAGATTCTGATATCTTAATAAAGTAACGCACACATCATATTATTACTTAAGCCATTACCAGTGGCTCCCAATAGTTTGATTGATCTTTTGTCACAAATTCATTTCAAGAAGTTCTATTGAGTTCTGGAACAAGGCTGTTGGTATTGTATTAACGGCTTTACCAGAAGCAATCAGGGTTTATTATCAACTATCGATCTGACAAATGACACCAACTCCTCAGTTTCTTCGTGAACTTCTTCGAAACATTTATTAAACCAATTTCTTTTCATTGTCAATATTGTTGGTCATATTAAAAGAAGGACAACTTAAACATTGTCGAGCAATTTCACGTCCAAATTATAATATTTGTTTATTGTGTTTCTTGTATATTCTTGAGCCTGAAAATTCATAAAAAAGACACATACAGATACATGATAGAAACTCTCAGTATCACAACATGAATATAAAATAGTGTTTATTTTTGTGTGTTCGCTCGGCTTTTACTCTTGGATTTGACTGCTTTTAGTGTCATTAAAAGAATCAAATATGAATCGATTTTTTGGCATTTTACTATTTAGTTTCATTAAAATCAATTTCATTCTTCAAAGTAATATGAAGTTACTTTTTTCATTGTTACTAGGCCAGCAACCGAGTGTTTCATTTCATGGTGAATGGATAGGCCAGTATCTTATAATATCTTATCCATTCAATATCTTACGGCCGAAAATTATTGTACTTGTTGTAATGTATATTAAATATGAGGTTCTAATTATTTTAATCCTTTGAAAACAACTTGGATTAGTGCGCAAGAGTTTTCATTACCTCGGGCTAACGGTGAAACAGTGAAGATAAAAGACTTAAAAAAACAGATCAAATATGAAACATTTGGTTGACACAGAAGAACGCGTGTTAAAAGAGTCTCGTGATTCAATCAAACTTCGAATCCTGAAAGACTGAACTTCATGAGAAATGAGCATTTATGCCATTCAATTAGATTTTAAATAATTTTACACTTACATTGGTTAATTTAACGTTGGAATAGCACTGGATATTGTTGATAAGACTCTTAATTTTTTAACATTTTCTTCAGATTAGTGATCTAGAGGTTTCAATACCTGGGGTCATTTGGGAGTAGATGTGAAATAAACGTTTTAAACCATTCATGGGCGGTGAGAATGGGCGACTATAAAAGGGCTAAAAAAGTCAAAGAACCAACCATAAAAAATTTATCATTCGAGTGTGTTTGTTCAAATTCAATTCAACATGTCAAGTGTATTCAAATCATCTCATCTAGAAAACCTTTACTTGTTAGCAGAGGTTAGCGTCCGCAGACTCGCTGAAGAGCGCGAGAATGCCAAGTGTGATCCATCCTCTGTGTTTTATATGCCTGAAAAATCAACCTCTTCTTCTTATCACAAGTGTAATTCAAGTGACGATTCGATGGCTTCCTCATTTTCACCATACAAATCTGAATCTGATGACGATCAGTATCAGAGTGCACCTCTCAACCTAAAAATATCTGCAGAACCAATGCAGGAAGATGTGATTCAAGAGCTCGAACCTGAGCCAGAGCTTGAGTCAGACTTAGAGTCAGAATCAGAGTCTGAACCAGAGTCTGAACCAGAGTCTGAACCTGAATCAGAGCCTGAGCGAACAGAACGACCGGTCACCATAACAGCTGAAATGTACGCTCAGGCCATTGAAAGTGCTCGTAATTATAGATATAGTGAGGGACGAGCAAGTTTTGCACCAAACATCGAGTCTCTGGCTGAAAAACTAAGTAAGTTTCTTCAACAATCAGTTGAAGTCAGTTATTTATTTTGCATTTCATTACTTTTGTATCTAACAATCAAACTAAATATTTTATCTTTACTTAACAGAAATCCCTCTTCGAATGTTCAGTTCGATTAAATTTGTTAATGGAGGCCATGGAATCAAGAATCCAATCCTTTCATATGGAAAGCTTAAACCAGCTATACAGCCAAGTTTGGATGATCCCCTGAAATGCCCAGTGTGTGCGCAACGGTTCCCCAAACCTCGATGTCTTAAGCGTCATCTTAAAAATCATTCAGACGTAAAAGAATATTTGTGTACATTTTGTGGTAAAGGCTTTAATGATACCTTTGATCTGAAAAAACATACCAGAACTCATACAGGTAAGTTATTTTGTTGAAATCTCAACTTTTAACCATTTCAATGATTTTTGTTCAAAATTATGAAACAATCATTCCAGTTAATCTTGATTTTTGCTAATTATTTCTTTTTTCTCTTTTTCTCTAATTTCTGCCATAATAGGTGTTCGCCCATACAAATGTGACCATTGTGAAAAATCATTTGCTCAACGATGTTCCCTCGAATCTCATACTCTTAAAATCCATGGTATTTCGCATTCTTATGCATACAGAGAAAGGAGGACTAAATTGTACGTTTGCGAGGCGTGTGGAAACACTACCAATAAACCAGAAACACATTATCTGCATCTTAAAAATAATCATCCTGATTCTCCCGCTTTGGATAAAGTCAACGACAGACGATTTTTCAAGTTTGATGATCCTGATTTCCCCTTTGCTGAATGAAAATATCAATTCCTTACCCAATTTACACCAACTTATTTTTTTGATTGTGCCATATATTGCTATTGTATTATATTGGTTTGAATAATAAACAAATTTCAAACTGACACTTTAATTGTCATTCTCACTTTCATTTCCACAAGCAGAGACGCTAAAATCAATCCATATTCAATGAGCCAAATCTTTATGTAAACCAAGGTCAATGTGGTGAACTAAAAATGAAATAAAATCTGGTTCTAAAACGGAAAAAATGAAATCTAAGTTTGAACTTCGAAAGCCATTTTACCGAAAACCGAAAATCAGAGAAAATTTTTAGTTACACGAATAATTTTTTTCTCACTAAAAGTGCATCAAGACAATTCTTACATAGAAAGTCAAAGTTTGGGCACTTTTAGATCATCCAATAATAAACCATAGCGTCATTCAACTAAAACGTTTCTCTGATGAACATCATTGAGAAAATGGAGTTTAAAGTTGAAACTCCGATCTCTTTCTGTACAGTTTCGTATATACTTTCAATCCAATAATAAACCATCAACCTGAATACAAAAAAGTTTTCCCTCAATCTCAATAGTAAGAGATACGGATTTTGCATTTTCCCCTTACCCTGTTTAACCGCTAATATCTCAGTAAACTGAATTCTGGTTAAGCTTTGGCTATTTTTTACGATTGTATCATTATTATTTATCATGAATTGTGATTGCAAAAGTTCAATCATAGCTTTTATGCGATGTAAAAATCTTCTTTAAAATCCGTTTAGTTTGGTCATAATCTTCCCGCAAAAATTTCAAAGTTTGACACATATTGACAGATTTAAACAAACATAAGGTTTTTAAACGGAAAGTTTTCTGGAATCCCTATAGACACACATAAGTTCAGGATTGGTATCCAGGGTAATGACGAGTTTAAGGAGCTTGAAACCGGAAGTATAAAAGGAAAGAGAGACAGGGACAGAGAAGTAGTTATTCTCGGTAGTAAGAAAGTGTTTCATTGATTCAAACCACTTTTCACATTTTCAACTTTCTTCAAACTTTTGACTGCTATTATTCATCTCCGCATCAAGACCGTTACTTTATATTTGACCACTGTGAATAAACTCTGCCAACTTTATAAAACCAAATCAACTTTTAATTTCGTGCTAAATCACAATGCCAAGGTCATTTTTAATACGTAAAAGAATAAATCTCAGGCAATCTAGCCAGCCGTCTAAGCAGACCTTTAAACAGCAGTCCAACCAACAGTCCGACCAACAGTCATACCTACAAGCTAACCAACAAGCTAACCAACAGTGCAAACAGTCCGACCAACAGTCTAATCAGCAGCCTAAGCAGCAGCCACAGTCTAACCAGCCGTCTAACCAACAGTCTAACCAACAAGCTAACCAACAGTCTAATCAGCAGCCTAAGCAGCAATCACAGTGGCGTCCAGTTACTCCACCACCAAGTCCTGAGGATGCAAAACCATCACCATCAATGTCAACATCGTACACCTGCTCCAGTTCATCGAATACTTCATCATCATCTGATGTCAGTGAACACCAGAGTGTTGTGTTGAACCTTAAAGTGGATTCCAAACCTGTGCAACATGCAGCCAAAAAGATTAAGTCTGGACCTAAAGTTGTTGTTACTGAGGAAATGTACCAGCAGTCCGTTGAAACTGCTCGCAATAGCAAAGCTGGAAGTAATGGTGGGATCCCAGCTACCTTCGCTCCAAGCTTCGTGGCTCTAGCACAAAAGCTGAGTAAGTAAAACATCATTTCTTGAGTATTTATTGTACCTAACAATAAACTAAATATTTTATTTTTTCTCAACAGAAATTCCTCTTCACATGTTTAATTCAATCGATTTTGTTAACGGAGGACATGGAATCAAGAATCCAATACTTTCTAAAAAGAAGTCCGTTATTTCATCAAGTTTGAAAGATAAAAAAAAATGTCCAGTTTGCAGAAAACAATTTGCTCTGCCACGTTTAATGAACCGTCACCTTAAATGTCATTCAGACGTGAAACGATTTTTATGCACATTTTGTGGCAAAGGCTTTAATGATACCTTTGATCTTAAAAGGCACACCAGAACTCATACAGGTTTGTTATTTTATTGAAATCTTAACTTTTGACTCATACTTCAATGAATTATCGTTGAAAACTATGAAACAATTATTCCGATTAATCTTGATTTTTGCTAATTATTTCTTTTTTCTCTAATTTCTGTCATAATAGGTGTTCGCCCATACAAATGTGATCATTGTGCTAAATCATTTACTCAAAGATGCTCTCTCGAATCTCATTCCAATAAAATCCATGGCATTTCGCACCAATATGCATACAAGCAAAGGAGGACAAAAATGTACGTTTGCGAAGAGTGTGGAAACGCTACCGATCAACCGGAATCACACTATCTCCATCTTAAACAGAATCATCCTGATTCTCCTGCTTTGGCAAAAATTAATGATAAGCGATTTTTCAAGTTTAATGATTCCAATTTCCCATGTGCCGAATGAAAATATCAACTTCTTGGCTAATTTCATTTTTATCAGTCTCATCATAAGCATCAATTTTTTGTAATTTTATTTATATTTTTTGGGTGTTTTCACCGTTTTTTCACAATCTTTTTAAAACATTTAGAAACAAGAAAAAATACACCGATGATGACTACGATTCTGAGTGATATGTTCAAGGCAAAAATATATCAATTTTTGATATGCCAATCAATTATGTTGTATTTGAACAATCGTTAAAATTAAAAACCGTTCTGTTAATTGTAATTTTCACTTTAATTTCTATTTTTGAATGATCAATCATGAAGTTGACTAAAAGCTTTGAGGATTCGCTATACCCATCGTTATTTTTCATTGGAATTGAAAATGGCCTCCGGACTTTTTGCGTGTCAACAATTATAGATCAGTAGTCTATTTTCAATCCCCATATGTACTATGGGTGTGGCTCTGATTATTTTAATCCTTTGATAACAACTTGGATTAGTGGTCAAGAAGTTTCATTACCTCGGGCCAACCGTGACACTGTGAAGATAAAGACTTAAAAACCTCACCAAATATGAAACCTTTGAGTCGCACAGAGGTACGCGTGTTAAAAAAGTCTCATCACTTGATCAAACTTCCAATACTGGAAAACTAACAAACTGACTTGTTAACTTCATGAGAGCTCAGGTTTTTCACCTGTCAAAACTAGATTTTTAAACTAATCTTTTATTTACACTGGTTGATTGAACAGTGGAATAGCATTGATTGTTGTTTATAAGATTCTTAATATTTTATCTTTTTCTTCGGATTAGTGATCTAGAGGTTTCAATACCTGGTGTCACTGGGGAGTAGATGCGAAATAAACGGTTTATCCTTCGGTGGCAACTTGGATTAGTGGTCGAGAGTTTTCATTACCTCGGGCTAACGGTGACACAGCAAAGATGAAAGACTTAAGAAACTGATCAAATTTAAAAGCTTTCGGACGCACATCATTTAATCAAACTTGGAAAATTGAACTTCATGAGAGACGAGCATTTATGCCAGTCAATTCGAATGCAAAATAATCTAATATTTAAATTGGTTAATTTAAAGCATTGTATATTAGGTTAACATACAAAAATACTTTAAAAGGGCAAAAAAGTCAAACAAATGCACAGTAATTTTCATTTATTGAGTCGATTTTGAGAAGTTACTATTACATTTATTTTTTTATGAATTTTCAATTCAGAAAGAAGATACAATACAAAATGATACATAATTTTATAATTACATGTTTCGGAAAATTAGTAGAAGTGTTTTTATGATTGTTATATTGATCAAGTTGTCGTTTCTATATTGAGATGGGTAATAAAACGAAGTCGCTTTTGCAAAGCAGGCCTGAGATTACGAATTTTTCCTTCAACATCATTTTTGATAGAGTCGCCAGTTATATGGTATTTCATATGGTATAAAAGGTCAGTTATTGTATCCATAAAACGTAACTCAGTGCAATTTTTATCAATAACCTCGAGAAAAGAGTACAACTCGATAGTAACTTCCATAGCTCTACGTGTTCGCTCAGCATAAAGTCTTTGAAGGAAAGGACAAACAATATGGACAATGAAAAGAAATTGTTCTTCAGTCTTAATAATTGGTTTAACTCGTTCACGAAGAAACTGAGGAATCGGTGTGATTTGTCCAATTGATGCGTGATGGAAAAATGAATGGATTAAAGCAATTAAATAGCTTGGTTGCATTTCTGACATTGATTTATGGCTATCAGAAAAGTTCATCATTTGAAATGGTTCAGGGTGAGGTGAATAAGTTAAAAGAGGACTTTCCATCATGCTTATGATCCGATCATTGATAACAGACCAGTATGCTTCTGGTAAAGCTGTTAATACAACACCAATTGCATTGTTCCAGAACTCGATAGTATTTCTTGGAATGTATTTGTGTCCAACAACAACAAGATCAATCAAATTATTGGCAACGACATTGGCAGCCACCGGTAATGCCATAAGTTCAATGCATGTAATATGAAGAGCATGAACACCAGCATTGGCAAATTCATTGAAACGCCAATCAACATGTGGAAATGGAGATTTACCTTGAAAAGTATCAACTACTCTACTGATCAGTTTGAAATAATAGTCTAATTCAGGATTCCAGGCTAAATCTTCAACAGGACGCTTCATGTAATTCAAGTATGCGTCAGTAACAGCCCAGTTTGCTGGTTTAATGTCTTTAAAAGCACCAATTATGATTGAAACAAGTTTACGTCGAAGTGCTGGTCTTTCTCGCATTTTATGCTCATAATAGTGTAATGTTTCATACAAATAGGTTAATGGACGATCGTGAAATTTATAGAGGCAACCATATTTCTCTAGCAATGAGTCAATCAATGGACTTGGTGATCCTGGTGGCAGTTCAAGATAGCGATGAATGATCAAGTCAAGAACAGGTATAAAACGAAGACAAATATTGCTAAAATAAGTTGGTAGATATGAATGTTGCATATTTTGACCACTAATATCTGCGAGTCCTTCGAAATAAAATTTTTCTGGATATTTCTGTTAAAAAGTAATTGAAAGATAAAAAATTATTGATATGCGAATGAGAAATTTCAAGATGAATATCTTCTTTTAACAAAAAAGGTTATAACTAGCAAAATCAGTTCAGAAATATTTAAATGCATGTGAAGCAAATCACATTTACGTATGTCAAGGAATTTCCCAATTGAGATACCTTGATTCATAGACAACGAACTGAGATTTGCTTGAAAGAAAATATTGAAATACACTAGAAGATTAATAATAAACGATATCTTACTCTGTGTAAAGCGTGATGCTTTTCGTGCCAATTTGATTGCTTCCAGTGTTCCGGAGACATTTCTCTGACAAAATCAGCAACTCGATTGGAAAAATCAGTCGTTTTGAGCAATAACATTTGAATGATAAACAAAGAGACTTGAGCTTCATTACCTTCGTAAGCTCTCAGAGTCTGTAAGAAAATCAAGTAAAGTAAAAACAAATTATTAATATATGAAATGCTAAATGGTAAAAATTAAAATTTCAAAATAAAATAATTACCAGACATAAAAGTAATCTGTCCAAAGTTATGACATGACTCTTCCAAATTAAATCATTCAATTTATCAATATATTTAGTAACATTTTGGGTTCCGCAGAGATTTGTAAATTCATTAACGAGATAGTCCACCAAGATTCTTAAATGAGAAGATAAAGCTTTGGCTCCAATTCGGTCCAAAATTTTGTATGCTATTGGGTTGATTCGATCATTCTCAAGAATCATTTTCCATAAAAGACACAGAAATAATGGTGGAGTTCCTTGAATTGAAAAATGGGCGATTATATCGTTTTCATTGCTCATTGTTATCCACTTTCGGTATTCTTCTTCGACCGATTGTTTCAATTGTGCTTTGTTTTCCGTAACTGTATTAAAGTTTTGATAATACTCGGTAATTGCTGGAGGAAAACACTTGAGTGTACAACTTGACCATGCTAACGGAGTGCTATTCATGATGTTGGACAATAACTCTTTGCACCATTCGATCAAAGTATCACAACCAGTTACATGAATGGCTCTTGCTAATGTTAGAATCAACACTTTATTCAATTCCTCTGAGTCATGAGAGATCCTGATTTTTGGTTCATTTTGATATCGATTGAGCTGAGTGATGAGCAATACTTGTTCTGAAGTGAATCCTGTGATTAGTTTTAAAGCTGTACTTTCCATACATGAGTGCAGTTGAATTTGATTACTATGAGGTGAATTAGCTAAATAATGGAGTTGGTTCAAGAATTGAACTCGATAAGGAGCAGGTATGTGGTGCAAACGATGGATGAACATTTCGAATAGAATATTAAGAGTTCCCCAAGATTGCGTTCTGATGGCATTAGGTATCACTTGTTGAATGAAATTCTTAATTCCAAGTGTTTCAAGTTCAATGTAAATTAACAAACGACTGTAGGTTTCAGCTAAAGCAGGTGATATTATAGTTCCATCTTTCGAGGATGATTTGTTGATTTGAGCAACAATATTCGAGATCAAACTCATTTTAGTGTGCAATGTAACAGAATCTAACAAACTAACAGATAGCGGTATTATAGCCCCGTTAGTATTACCTCCAGTTGATCCACTGCGACTATTGCACTTAATAGTGTCACATAAAATCGTTAAAATTCGATTGTAATAATCACTATTGGTAGAATAAGCATTACAAATAAGAGGAATTTTAGAATCAACCGTTAAACTGGCGGGTAGATCACTGCTCATAAAAGTTTGGTGAAGAAATTCAACATGAAGCCTGAGACAATTTGGAATCGGTCTTATCATCTTTTGAGGTTCATTTTCTGCTTTCTTTAACAAATGAATCCAAATGGAACTGATCGCGAAAGTATGAGTGCAGATAGGTTTAGTTATATCGGGAACAGGAAGAGGATCCTTTTCAGGGTAGAGTAGATCATGAAGTTTGAAGAAGGGTAAGAAATCTGTTAGAGGAGTCTTCTGAATGGAACCAGAAATATATTGAAGAAGCATCCACATTAGATGATCTCGTCCTTTTTTTGAATTTCGAGCAGCCAATGATTCATGAAGGCTTCGCACAAGCTGTGGAAAACTTATATGGTTTAATATGATGAAAGTTATCAAATGGCCAGATAGTATTTGCCAAAGGCACTGAGTTTGACTATAGTCAGTGTCCTCTTGATTGTTCGTTTCGTTTTCAGACTTTTCCATTGCCAATACAATCAATGCAACCAATTGTTCTTCAAGAATAGGACAGCGGGATTTAGCTTTATTAGTCAGACTCAACATAAAGTAAATCATTTCACGAGAATAAGGCTGTTCCAAGACATATCTCAACAAGCCTATCTGAGGTCTTGTAAGCTCGTTGTTATAAGGTAAAAGGCCTTTGAGGTCGAATGCGGCTGTGGCTGCATTCAATTGCCAAGATTGGTTTAAGGTTGAGGAATATCCAACAATTGGTAAGAGCTTGGAACGATTAATGATTGAAACCATCTGAGCAACAGGACGGAAGCTTTCCACAAAAGCCGAAAATAAATCAGCGAATTTCTGAAAATATGAATAAATCATGAGAAAATTTCCAATCTATGTGTAAGAAAGATTTTAATACTGCTTACCCAATGCATCCATTTGTCAGATTTTTTCTTAATTTCATCAAAAGCTAGATAGGCTGGTAATAGTGAGGAATTTCGGTTCAAGGCATAATCTAGGACCTAAGAATGTGAATATAGATGGTGTGCTTATAAAAACAAATTTAAATCAAATCTTTAGTAATGAATATTTACCTTACGCATAACATCTAATTGCGGTAGCATAGCAATATTTGCCTCAATGGGAATTGTGTGGATTTTCTCGATCATAAATCTGATTATATCTCTGACACCTTTATAGTCCACTTGAGAAATTACTCGATGAATTAACTCGAAAGATTGGCAAAAAAATATTTGCTTATTGATATGAAGATGTTCACAATTGAGAATGGCTTCACAAACAGATCTGAGGGAATAGTAAAAATTAGTAAATAATAAAGTTTGTGCCTGTAATAAATACTTACTTAGCTGATAATAAGTGATTATTGATGGCATGTTCCAACATCGAGAGTAATAGTCTAACTTTATTGACGTTAGGAATAGAACCTGCTCCATTCAAATAGTCCCTCAGCATTAATTCAATCTTTTCCGGAGTATCACAAGATTTGATTAAGGCTGTCATCTGTTCTTCATAGTTTTTGATCTTGCATTCTTCGTTTACTGAAGATTCGACAATATAACCAGTAAAAATTGCTTCTAATTCCTCGGTACGCTATAAATAAATCCGATTGATAATTTGAATTAGAACAAAAGAAAAAATGAGTTTGAATTAAAGTACTTACCAGAATCGAATCAATAAAATTATGAACATCAGAAACAGTTGAAGACACTTCCATAGGAGTACTCATTTTTAGTGATTGTTGACTGTTGAACCATAAATAAATAATATAGAAAACAACTTAAATTTAAAGTAAGGTTCAGGTTTAAAACTGAACTTTACCTCCAAATTATTCACGATAAAAATTCATCTAAATTCAAACTATGAATTCAATTTCAACACAAGGGAATGTTATCATGTTATTTATCGGTTTTGCACAAAATTGGTTTTCATATGATAAAATGATGCCGGTCAAAGAAAAAGCATGCAGAGACACCTATTGATACAAAAATAAAAATAAAACTTTTTCTTGATTAAACTTAAATTTTGTTTTAATTTTTTAATACAAAAGAGAATCTCAAAATCAAACCTTCTCATTAAAATCTTTAAAACAGATAAAGAACTGAATAGAATAGAAGATTGTGATTGTTGTTTTTTGTTGCTTAACTGAGGTTGTTTATAAAATTGGAGCAATGGAATGGTGTTAGGAAAAAATGTTAAGAGACAAACGGAAAATATTTTAAAATTAGTAAATCATCTCTCAATTAAGAGACATTGAGCACGATGAGCTCAATCAGTTAAGTATAGTTTAATCATAAATGAATCATGTAAATATATCATAAATTCAGTTGGTCTGAATATGCGCGATTTAGAAATAGATTGAAGAATGAAATGATATTGAATAAGAAGTGGTCGTTTCAAGCATATAATTGTATATTTTATTAATATTAGTTTAAGTTAATAAAATAAATTTACAAAGTTTGATTTGTAATTATAAAGTAAGTAAGTCAAAATTATCACAACCGTGGTGGGGCTTATACTTGTGGGTGAAGGTAACAAAAAAGAAATTAAAGTAATAATTAATCTTCATCCGAATCATCTATAAGGTGTCGCTTCTTTTTCAGCTTGGCCATTCGTCGTTTCTCTTCTTGCTCTTTTCTCATATCTTCTAGATCTTCCAGCAAACCAGCTTTGGCAGATTCCATCTCTTCTTTCATTTGTTGAGCGAATGTGGCTTCTTCGATATCGTCATCGTCTATCATTGCATATTTCCTCTTGTCGTATCCAAAAATTTCTCGAATATAATGAGAAACGTCGGATTTCTGAGCTTCCAGGTCATCACCGTCGTCAATGAAATCTCTCATATCTTCGTCTTCCTCGTCTTCTTCGTCGTCATATGAAACAGGTTGATAATTCATACTTCGTCTATAAGTAAGGCCAATTGGAGGTAAAATCTTGTTCGATGCCACTGGTCGTCTTTTCTTTATCTCTTTCAATCTGGCAAGTTCTCGTTCACGATCGCGTTCCCGTTCGGCTCTTAAACGAGCCAATTCTCGCTCTTTGGCCAACTGTTCTTCCAGCTCTTTATTCCTTGCTTTTTGTAACTCAAGTTCACGTGCTGCTTGTAATTCTGTAAAAAAAGAAAGATAAAAAGAAACAAAGAAATGATTAGAAATAGATCAATGATTAGTTTGATTAACAGGTGATTCATGTTGAACAAAGGGTTTCAAAAAGGATATCATGGCTTGTTAGGAAGATTCGAGATACATTTTTCAAGTTATTAAGTATTTGTAAGTTAGTAAGGAACGAAAGGAATAGAAAGATAAAAAACTTACCTCTTTCTTTGAGAAGTCTCTCCTTCTCTCTGAGAGCATCTCTATCTATCTTGGTTGAATCACGAGTTGATGGTTGTTTGGTATCCGCAGGTCGAAGTTTCTTCTTAGGAGGTTGATTCGTATTGGATGATGTCCGGGAAATTGGGTCTCCTCCAAAAAGTTCAGATCTTGGTTTAATTTTATGGCCATTCTCTAAAATTCCATTATCACTTTTTGCACTTTTTAATAACTTTGACTTAGGAGATGGAATATATTGTGGGGTTGGTTTACTTCTTTCGGTATCACTTCTTGATTTGGTATTAACTCCTTTCTGTTCTTTGGCACTGTTAACTTTAGATGGAACATATTCTTCCACTTTACGATTGCCATTGTGAGATTTTGAAATAATACTTGGTCGTGTTGGTGAATATTCGCCAACTCTTGGTTTCTTTTTAGGTATCTTATTGGAAACTAATGTTGAGCTTAACGTAGATGAAGTAACTGATGAGCTTGGTGTAACTGGCTTGCTAGGTACAGTTGACTTTTTTGAAGGAATATACTCATCATTTTTTGGTCTACTTGGATTGCTATTAATACTTTTACTCTGTTGTTTTCTCATGTTTTCAAGGATTCGTTTTTCTCTATCCTTTTCTTCTTTAAGGTCAATCTTGGTCTTTTGTGAAGATTTAGATTTACTGCTAGCATAGATTCTTTCTTCTAATTGTCTTCTTTCCTCACGTTTCTTATCTGCTGCAGTTTTCCCTGCTTTCTCAGCTTCTTTCTGGGCTTTGATCTTTTCTAGGTATTCTTTCATCTTTTTATCAACTGGTTTACCACTTATGGCCTGTTTACGAATCTTTTCCTGACGTTTCCTATCTTCCATGGCACGAAGCTCATCTTGTTGTTTCTTCAACCTATTAAGCTCTTCATTTTGTTTCCTTACACGTTCTTCATCTGCTTTCTGTTGTAACTTTCTCTGGGCTTCTTCCTTTTTCTTTAGTATACGTTCTCGTTTCTTCTGGGATTTCAAAAATTCTTCGTCAGGCTCACCTTTCTTGTTGAATTTTTTATACGGGTTCAGCATCTCTTGGAATCTCCTCTCCTTTGCAGCTTCCTCTTCGGCCTTTTTCTTCATCACATATTTAAGAATAGCATCTTTACTAGGGGCTTGTGAATTACTCGTCATGATGATGGTTAAGTTGACCAGTTTCCAATAGGAGTACACAATTAAAGAAAACTTAAACACTTTTTGACAAGAATAAATTGAAGTAATCACTAGTGAAGATAAATACACACTGTAAACAACTAGTCTGTATGTCAGCAAGTCTGAAAATGCTGCCATCTGAAGTTTGCTCCCTTATTTATATTTTTAAATTCGGGAGCTAAACCGCTTATCCGAAATTAAAATGAACAGTTCTAGAGGATTAATAATATTGGTTTAAAAGGTCTAAAAAATTGGTAAGGGCATATAACCGTAGGGCATAAGTGGTAAAAAGTTACAGAATTTTTTCGTAAAAATGTTAATACTTTTATTGTTATTTAATCCAACTTACAGTGTTTATCATAAAAATTAATTAACATTCTTTGAGACTGACATATTATAATTTACATTAAGATCGAGATTGTCTGTGTTGATGAGCTTTTAGTCTAATAGCTTGGAGAAGTGTTTACTCTACAATCTGAAACAATACAGATAATAACAGTTCAGAACATGATTTTGTAAACACCTTTTTCTGAATTGTTTTAAACAGTTTAACTTGAAAAGTAAATGGATGAAATGGTAAAACAATCAAAATTGTATTAAAAGGTGGAGAGAATGACAAGTCATCGCAGAGATGGTATTAGTTATTGTATTATCACAGGTTCAAGTTCAGATCCAAAATATTAATTAAGCATCGTATGCCTATCATAAATATTTTTTCGTTGCTCTGAAACTTTTCTAATCCATTTGTGCTGTTCATGGCCAATAGCGCTAATTACACCTCTCGAATGAGCATAAGTTAACTCAGGTTGACTTGTTGATTCAATTGATTCGGTCGAGCTTCTTTTAGGTCCAGTTTCTACCAGCATTTCTTCATTAAAATGTTCACGATAAGGTGTACGCTTGAAAACTAGAAAAGATTAGAAACGAAATCATTAGTAAGCAATCGATAATTTTCAATCAAATTCATTGAGCACATGTTGAAGGGAGGTTCTCATTAGATTTATACTTACATCTACTCCAAAGCATATAAGAGTCGAGAGCTAATACCAGCATATAAGCAACGAGTAAAAAGATGATAGAAATAACTCCGATGATAACATATCTGATAATCTCTGTATTTCTTGATTCAAATCTACATTCGCATAGTGGACAGAATTCTTTAGAGCTAACGTTTGTCAATTGAGGTAATACAAAACCATCACAATTACATTTAAGGGGAGGAACAGTGTCAATATAAACCTTCCTGTCAATGTAAAAGTTGTTGGCAGGTTCATTGCCATTGGGTTGTGATTGGTAAGTTTGCGAGGTTGACTGTTTGACAGGTAAGCTTTCATTAGCGACAACTCGCAAAGAGGGACAGATACACTTGCACCTCTCATTCTCATATTGACCGGATACCAAACCAATAAAAAGGGAAATAAATATAACAATCAATTCCATCGTAGCTCGATGTTGAGTAACATAAAACCAAAGTTGCACTATTTTCCAGTAAACACGTAGCGTTTGATCAACAGACAGTCACAGAATTATAATTTCTGAGTTTGTTAGATTACTCTAGCTTCTAAGAACAACATCCTAATCATTGGGAATAATTAAAATGCTGAAATTGATAATTTGTATTGATAATCATCTGGTAACTGCCTCAAACTGTTTGAGTAAAACATAAACACTGTTTATTAAACAGCCTTGATAAGTTGAAATCAAAATAGGCAGCAATAGGAAAAAATATTGATAGCTCTCAACAATAGATGGTGCTAGATTTGTACTCAAAATTTTGTAAACACGTTTTGAAATTGTTATTTCTCAGCACATGTTAAGCCAGAAATTTCTTTAAATTTAAATTGTTTTGTTTGATTTTATTGTTTTTATAATGGTAAGTAATTAATTTTTCAATACCAATCATATTTTTTGTCTACTATCAGTATTCGTTTATTATGTAGTCTGATACTGAGAGATGTTAAAAAAGTTCAACCACATTTGTTAAGCCTTGAATTATTTTCATCATTGCAGGTTCGGACTAAATTTGAAGATGCAAAAGCAGCCAAGGAACAGTTACTCATTCCAATAGATAAAAAATGGTGGCAATTAAGACCTGATTTATCTGCTATCAAAATAAAGTCAGCTCTCAATTCAGATGAGGAGAGTCTTCGTCAAGAGGCTGAATATTTACTTGAAACGGATCGTAAAAAATATTTAGCTTACAAACAAGCAGCAGAAAAATCGGATTTCAATTGGATAACATCTGTCATTAAAAGTGGTACATTTACTGATCGACTCTCAGCTAATACTCTGTTAATTCAAGATTCCCCGATTCACAATTTACACTCTCTACACAAGCTTATAGACATAGTTGACTCAAAAGGTATCAGAGAATGTCTCATGTCAATGGAAAATTTGAAAGAACTCTTTCTTGGTGATTTACTTTTGAAAGATAAAAAATTAAAAACCTTCTCAGGTAATACTAACTAATCTTACTTTCCATCTTGATATATATTTCGTAAAATTTCTGTTTCATAGGCATTAACGAATTTTCAATATCCTTTTCTTTATCCAGAGCTTATCGGATATTTACATAACAAGCAAGGAGATCAACGTAATCGTCAATTAGTTATTTTCCATTTTGAAGATAAGTTATTGTCAGAGTATCGACGATTTTTGGAAATATTAGCTAAAGTTTCAATGGAAGGAAATGATGCTGTGAAAAGTAAAGCTGTTAATGTGATGTTCGAATTACTCTCTGAAAGACCAGAGCAAGAGCAATTTTTATTGGAAAAACTAGTGAATAAGCTTGGTGATCCCATTCCAAAAAGAGCAGCTCATGTAGCTAACTTACTTGTAAAATTGGTAAACCTGAAGCATCCTAAAATGAAGGAAATTGTTGTTAAAGAAGTAGAACAAATACTTTTCCGTCAACATATATCAGAACTAGCCCAATTTCACGGACTGTGTTTCTTAAGTCAAGTTTTACTTGAACACAGAGACAAAGATTTAGCGTCGAGAATGATAAATATTTATTTCAATTTTTTTGATGCCTCTACAAAAAAAGAAGACGTTAAAAACAAGATGATGAACGTTTTAATCACTGGAGTATCACGAGCCATGCCATATGCAAACATGAAACCAGAGCTATTAGAAAAAAGATTGGAATCGTTTTACAAAGTCATTCATCTCGTAAATCAGAATACTTCTGTTCAAGGAATGGTCTTGATATTCAATCTCATGGATAGCAAAGATTCAGGATTAATAAGCGATAGATTGTATACAATGTTGTACCGTAGTCTTCTAGATATCAACATGGAAACTTGTTCCAGACGAGCTCTTTATTTGAATTTATTATTCAAAGCGATGAAAAGAGATCCTGTTCCTCATAGAGTGATAGCTTTCATGAAAAGACTTCTCCAGGTAAGTCTAAGCAAATTAAAATTAATATGATCAATTATTGATGCTTATTTTCTGCATTTCAGATATGTCTTTATCAGCCACCATCAATTGTGTGTGGTATTTTGGTTTTGATTTCTTCTATTGTTAAAATTAAACCAGAGCTACAAGGAACTCTGAAACCTGTTCAAGTGAGTAAAATTTTGACCGAAGATGACGAAGACGAGCATTACGAGGATATTGAAATAGATGACGAGGAGGAGGAAGAAGACAATAAATCTAAAAAGAGCAAAAGTCACAAGGGTGAAAGTTTGAAGGAAAAATCCAAACTCAGCAAAAAGAAGAAAGATAAGGCTATGAAAGCTGCAAAAGTTGATAGCGTGGAAACAAATGGAGTTGAAAAAGAAAAAGGAAAATCAACTGCTCCTGTGACTTGGATGCATAATAAAAATTTGAAGAATGAACAAAATTCAACAGTCTACGACATCTCAGCTAGGAATCCAATTTATGCAAATGCCAAATACTGTATCAATTGGGAATTAACGTTACTGCAAAATCATTATCATCCTTCTGCCAGTTTGTTCGCTAATAAAATGTTGGAAGGAGAATCGATTAGCTATGAAGGTGATCCTCTGGAAAATTTTACATTGAAACGTTTTATGGACCGATTTGTTTTCCGTAATCCAAAGCAAATTGATAAACAAAAGGCAGCACAAGCAGCGAAAAGCACCGTATTTGCTAGATTAAATAAGTCTAAAGTAACACCAATCCAAGATTTGGCTAACGCACCTAAATCAAATGTACCTTTAGAGGAGCAATTTATTTATGACTATCTGGTTCAAAAGAAAAAAGAAGCTGAAGAAAATGAACAATTTAAGGACAACGAAAGTGTTTCAAGTGAAGACTTCGAAAGACTTTTGCTTAAATTTGAACCCGACATTGATGCTGATACTGATTTCATGAATATATCTTGTAAGAAGGATAAAAAGAAAAAAGGTAAACATGATGCAGAAGGAGAAGAGAGCTCAGGAAGTGACGATTCACTAAGTGACGATGACTTTGATATGGATTCGGACGATGAGTTCTATCGTGAGGCATTTGATGACGTTGATGAGGATCTCGCTGAAGTCGAGTTCGCTGGCGATGAAACTTTTCTTTCAGACAAAGAAGAAGGATCGGAAGATGGAGAAGATATGGACACCTCTAAATATAAAAGAAGAGGAAGGGATAAAAATATGGTCAACCTATTTGCTGCTGCTGACAAATTTGCTCATCTGTTGGAAGGAAAAGAATCAGATGAAGAGAATAAAAATAATTCGGATGATGATGACGATGATGATGATGATAATAACAGGAGGAATAAACGCAATAAGAGAAGAATGCCTAAAAGAAAACCAAATCAGAAATTTAAAAGACGAAGATGAATGCATAGTTATTCTAAATCAATCAAAATTTCTTATTTTTGTTGAAAATTACAATTGGAAATAGCTTTTTTGTAAGATACGACTTCATGTTTCTAATTTAATAAATCTCACTCCTCTATCCAAATCAATGAATTAATCAATTCAACATCATTACTGGTTTCACACAAGGATTTAACATTCAACTCATAGCGTCGAAAACATTGATAATTTCAGAAAAATAACCCTTTTGATAACAATTTAAAATGTGAAAATACCAAGAAATCACTGCAAACCAAAGTCAAATTTTAAAATAGGAGGGAAAAGTATACTTTTTAATCACAAATTTACAAACGAAATTCATAACAAAATTAAATTGTTGAACAGAAAAAAAGGTAAAAGTACCAAAATTTGGTAACCAAATTAAAAATCTCTAGTAATTTTAATGTATTACAGATGGTGCTTCTTCAAGTTTAAGATTATGTTTTTGATTTCAATGATTTCGATAACAATTGGATTCCCAGTGATAAATTATTTTTCACAACAGTAGAATCATCATTTCAGTTCAGAATTTTTTTATTTAAAAATTAGTTATTATGAAATTTGAACCGATTACCTGACTACTTTGATTCACCAGAGGAATAAAAAGGATAAGAATAATCTGTTGACTTTCGCCACCATCGAGCTATACCTTTTACACTCTCAACTGTGCTTATCGAATTATTAATTTATCGTGTCAAAAAATCGCGAAAATCTGTAACCAAGTGATCTTTACTCTACCCTCGTCGCCATCATCATTACCAGATTCAACATAACCACCACAAACATAAAATATGTTACATCAAAAATTTCTTTAATGGAAAGAATGAAGTTTGTGGATTCATTGATTATAAAACTCAACCAGTTGTATTAACTTCATCAACTTGTTAACCAAAGCCTAATGATATCAAATTTTATATCAATAAGGTAAGAAGAATCTGTAAAATTTAGTGAAATAACCTCAAGTTCACAAAACATCTGAATGTTAATAAATGAACAAATTCAAAATAATTAGTTGGTTATAATTCACCTTATGGTGATTTTTGGTTTCTCCTCTAGTCTTTATCTTTCTATTCTCCCTTTTCTTCCTCTTTCTCTCTTTTGGTTACTTTTGCCAAAGTTTGCTGAGTTGCTTCTCCAATCCGGTTTGTTTGGTTTATTACTTTTCTTTTCTTGTGCTTCTTTTTACCTGATTGACTTCATCTGTATTAGTTTTCAAGTCTAGATATGTTGACATGGTTGTTAATTTTTATTAACATTCGCAGTAAACCAGTTAAACATTATCATCATTTATTTTAAAACAGTTAACTTATCACCTCACAGACCAAATCAAAGTTCAACTGTGCTCTGTTTACTTCATCTTTAACCCTGGAATATTTTTCTTTGTTTTTATGAAGTAAAACTACGCCAATATTTTCAGATTGTTGCTAGTTCAAGGTGTGTTCTCTTCACTCACATCAACATTCCATTTCATTTTCATCTTTATCATCATTACTCAACACTATCATCGGTATTACTATCACCACCAATATTTGTTACTTTCAAACTTGACTTTTAAGCTAAAACCCTACCAGCCATTTGTTTCCCTACGAAACAGGTCACAAAAACGTTTCTTTAATACTAGGCTTTTTTAGAAATCATTTTCTTATCACCTGAGAATTTCCGAGCATAATTCTTACGAGTCTAGTCCAGTCAACTCAACTCCTTAATGTGTAAATAACACTTTCATTTTGATTAATACTTTTATTTTGGTTGATAGTTCTAAAGTTATAACTCCATAATCATTTCTCTTATCGCTTGTAAACAGCTGAAGCTGCGCGTATACAATTTTGATTAGTTGTTGGGAGCGATTTCATAGATTCATCGTATAGTCATTGATTAAACCACCAATTCATTCATTTATGCACTCAATCTTAACTTTAAAATCTCCCAATCAAGTACATCTAATTGTTATCAGTTTAAATAATTTATTTAACCAGCAATAGATATTTTTTAGACCGTCTTATGTATTATTTCAATGGATTGATTATTGTACTATCTTTTGTCCACCATAACATGAATTCAGTCTGTAAGCTAGTTACAGGATTTAACTCATAATTATAAGTTGATAAAATATGAAGGTGTTAGTCATTGTTATTGAGTCTTTCATTTCTAACTTGTTGCTTTTTTCTGGTTTGCAGCAGTAAACATTTGTTACCGATTTTCTGTCTTTACCATACTATGTCATCTTTAAGAATTTTAAATCCTTTCAATGGAAATCAATGTTGCCCAAAACTTTTGAGAATGATTTAATAATATAATCACAAAGAGTTACTACAGATTAGTTACTGTAGATCCACGATTCAGCTTCTCAGTCAATGATAAACCCATCGTTTAAATTTATACAGCGTTACATAGATGTTACCAGTGATTGGTAGCAAGATTTTGTGTTAGTGCCTGCAAGTTCATCCCGTTGAATGACCCTAAACGTTTGATTACCTTTTTTCTTTTCCATCATCTTTTCATCATTCTTCTCTTACGCCTTTTCTCTTATTCAGTACTCCTTCCAATAACAAGCTTTTCAGTTTCAACAGATTAATTTATCATCATCTCATTCTCTTTTCTCCTGTTAAACCCTCATCAATCCTTCACAGCCATCTTAAACCATCATGTCGTCCGCATCCAACAAGTTGCATGTCCATATTTAGTTCATCCTCGTGTATTCTAAATTTAGCTGAACATGAGAAACTTTAATTTCTCTCTGCTATTGCCTCTTTCTTATCTCATCTTCCTTGGCTTTCTCCCTTTTACTTCATCTGCTTTTATTCCAATTCTCCTGATCATCACCATCATTACAAGCAAAATAACACATTTTTCTAACATGTATTTTCTTTTCTTTCATAACAGAATAATATCAACATCACGGAAATCGGGTTTGATTGATAAAATGGGTTAGCTTCGATGGATGTTAAATGAATCTCATTTTTTGTTAATACTCTTTGGATGTCCAATCTCACTGACAGAATCAATTAAACTCATCTGGTTGTCATTTTTTCGAGAGACTCGTAAAAGCTTGCCATCATCAAAATAAGGAATAAAAGTGGAATTAACATGCACCAATTATTTGTGGAAGTGTTGACCAAGAGAGATCTCTCCAGAGCCGGCGATTTATTTTCCATTGAGGATAAAAGCATTATCACTGATTTGTCAGCTTTAATTAATGAAATCCAACGAATTTCCAGCTCTAGAGATTTCAATAAAGTCAACAACGATCAAAGTGTCATCGAAATTTGCTTAGCTCGCATTACCTCTGCTATTAGGTAAAATCATCTGTCTCATGTTTGAACTTTATTGAACCCAACACCATGTGCTTATCAATATGTCTAATTTTTTTTATTTGATTTTTTTCAGAGATTCGGGTACAATAGAGGAGCATGCACCAGCTTTGGTTTCTCTCTTAGAATCATGTCTTCAACATGACCTTAAACCAAATAAAAAAGATGAGGATCCACCACATGCTAAAATAGCTTCCGATGTAGTTTCCTGTATTTTTCTCAATCACACTAAAAAATCATTGATGAGAATCGCGGTTCCAGTGGCCATTAAACTACTTCATCGAGGGAATAAAGAATTGAGCAGAAATCTTTCAAGTTATTTGTCACTTGCTGCCATTAACAATGCTGAAGTATTGTCACCTCATATCCAGCCCATTATCGATTCAATTATTGGTGGCAACTATTCTTTGGTGCGTGTTTTACCAAAAATTTACACTGTTAACAAGGAACCTATTCATGATCATGTAATGGCTCTTGTTTCACTTTTACCTCAATGTGATACACCAGAAAAGCTCTCTTTACTTCATCTTTTTGCTCTAATATCCAAGAACAAACCATCCATTTTGGAATCAAATTTACCACAATTTAGCGAATGTCTGGCTCAATCTCAAACAGCTTATCAAACTTTACAAATTTTCCTTGATATGGCTCAAGTTGATCCAAGACCTTTTGTTGAATATGTTAGTCGTGTTATTACTGCTTGTGAACTTCAAAGTGGAATGCTTTCAATAGCTGCCCAATTTCTTGGCATTATTGGTAAACTGGACGTTGAACAAGCCTGTGACTGTGTTCGTTTCCTAACCTCTCAATTGTCACGATCCGATTTATCAACCACCATCACACTTTTGCGAGAGATCAAATCAATCGTTGAAGTATTTCCATCATTAATCCCATCTTTTCTCAACCAAATTCTAGTACAAACGGAAAACAGTTCATCAGCAACAGTTCAAATTTACCTTCAACAACTGAATACTCTCAATCAACAAGTAACATCATCAAATGCTATAACAGTTGTCCGTGTCAATTGTGATAATAATTTGGGCAAGACAACATCTGGAACCGGAGTCCCTGGAAGCAGTTCATTGACTAACAATAACAATTCTGGTTTAGCTGATTCATTAATATCAACTTCATCCTCAGCCCAACACCAGCCTCGTTCAAAGGGCATCTATTCGCTGTCAAATAATGCTTCAACCTATCACCATCGAAGTATTCCACGATCTGCTAACCTTCATGGTATTTCATCCATATCGTCTTCTTCATCAACAACAGGACAACCTCATTCTCTCCATCACCACCACCACCAACAGCACTCTAACATTTTCAGCCACTCTGGACCTTCACATTCCAGTACATCGTCTACAAATGGATTTTATCGTTCCATGACTACTTTAGGTTTACCTAGTTACTCTTCTCGTCATCAAGTTAACCGTCGATCCATTGAAAGTATAATGGCAGGTACTACCGCATCGGGCTCACAAAAAAGTGCCTCCTCATCTTACCTTTTAGCTCTACAAGAAAAAGAAGCTGCTGCATCCAAATCAAAAACCGTTGCAACCTCAGTCGATTCGCAACTGCAACAGGGTAACGCTGCCTTTTCCTCAACCTCATCTCACTATAACATTGAAGCTTCCCGGTCTGAAGGTATCTCAAGCAGTTTAAATTCAAAATTACGGGCCACATCAAGCGGAGAACACCTTAAACAAAGTCGAACATCTCTTCTTGAACCTTATCCAATGAGAGATGCCGTTCAGCATTTTTGTGAGAAACACATTGACAAGATAAAAGCTTATATGCAAAAAATTTCAGTTAAAATACCATTACCTGTTAAATGTACCATAGAAGAAAAAAAGGCCAAGAAACTTGCCAAACTTCACTTTGTTTGTCAGGGCAAAGGAACAAATTGTTTGTACAGTAAAACTTTTTTTACCATGAAGACACGAAACGCACGAATTTGGATTCATCTCATGTTTCTGGCTCTCCAAGCCAAAGCACCTACCGCCTTATGTACCAATGAAGCCTCCGTTAATGCATTGAAAAACTGTTGGGATACACTTAAAGCCGATAATAAAACCTTCCTTACCTTAGTAACTTCATCCTTTCCCTCTACTAAAGACCAAGATTTGCTGATGGCTGAGTTAAGATCTTCACGATATTTCGATGTCTTTGAATTCAACGCTTTAGCTAATATCTGGGGCTGTTTTCTTTGTAATCATCCTGATCGTGCCATTGAATTTTTACAAAACTCGGAACCTGTTATTGAGGGCCAATTAAAAGAGAAAAAAGGCAAATGGAAGCTCTTTCGTCGATGGAGAACTCATTATTTCACTCTATCTGGACTTAATTTATCTTATAGAGAATCGGTCGGTATCTATTCAAGCTCATAGCTCGGTTATGCTCTTTTAATTCATAGTTTCAACTGTTACAGATTCACTTTCCCATCTCGTTCAGTTTCACTTTTTGTTGTTTGAACATCAACTTTCATTTTATCTCAGGCCTAGTATTTTGTTCAGTCATCCAGATTAGTGCTTCTTCAATTTAGCTCTGAGAAACCTTATAGACGTAAACTTCACATTGATCTTAAACAAAGGTTCAATTGTTTAATTGTTTACCTTCATTTCCTCTTTACAGTTAATTACCTGATTTCAGTCTTTACAGTGTTTTTTTATTAATTTGTTATAAAATTTACTATTGAGTAGTTTTCCTTCAACCAATTAATTGTACTCTTCAATTATTTCTAACCTTTGCAATTTATTCTTGCGCTTCTATCTTATTGTTGATTTTGATTACTTTTCTGTTGGAACCATTCCTAATTGATTAATATTTAACTTTTACAAAATCATTTTCAATCAATTTTGACTAATTTGGTTTTCATTTTTCCCTTAGAAAGACACCAAAGAAACTCAGCCGATCGAAATCGGGGAAATATTGAGCGTTAAAGCCATTCCTAGCTCAAAAGGAAGAACTATTCCTAAAGCTTTTGAAATATTCACAAACGAGGATAAAACATACGTTTTAAAGGCCAAGAATAATTTAAATACAGAGCAATGGGTTCAATGTTTATCAATAGCCATGGCACATTCACAAGCAAAAGACACAAATGGTTGAATGACTTTATCCTGATAATTGGGCAAAGATGGTCATTATTTTACTTGTTTAACTTAATTTAAGACGACAATCAAAAGAAAGGACAAAATCATCAACGAGGACTAGTTCACAATCCATATACCTCGTCGATTTTTGTTGATTGATAAACAAAAAAATGTACGAAAAAAAGGAGACAAAATCTTTCAGTTATTTCCAGTTTTCAAGTTAACTTACTTTCAGCAAGTTGAAATTGGCAAACATCAACAAAAAAAGTTTCATAAATATTCAGATTAATTAATTTTAGGAAATCATTGAATCGATACAGAAATATTTTTTTACAATACAGCGTATTACAATGTTTAATTGTTAGGACTGAAGAAAAATTGACAACGTGAGTTCCACAAATCATCTTCATTGAGCTCGAAAATGCAGAATCCTAAAGATTTCTTATTTACCAGTGTCAATTTCAAGAGAAATACATTTTTAAATTTCAACTTTACTCTTCAATAGTCAAAGTTAACGTTTTACTGACTTATACATCACTTCGTGTTCACTACCCTTTTGTCTTCTACCTTTCGTTTTTTTTGTTTGTATGTATTTAATAGATTCTTATACTTTTTTACATACACTTTAATAAATAATGTTTTTACTTCTGTGATTACCTTTTTAGCTTCATTAATTTATCAAAATGCTTAAATAGCTGACTATTCATTTTCCCTCAGCAAGCTGCTTCCATAATAGTTGTTTATCGGATTATCACCAACGGCTGGATTCGAGGCTCCTGACGAAACTTTGACTGCTCCATTTGATTTAGCTAATTGTTGTCGAGCTGATTTCATTTGAGATGGCAAACCTTTAATTCTAGAAGACTGCTTGGCAGTTGATGGCGTTGGTCTTGCATTAAGTTCATTTCTAGCATCGCCCTTGTCAGTTGTTTTTCTTGATGCTTTAGTTGGTGCTTCTGCTTTTTTCGGTTTTGTTCTTGTTTCTTCATAGAAAACTTTGGGATCTTCTGCAGCCGATTCAATTTCAGATTCCACAATGCCTTCTGTTGATGCTTCTGTTTTTTTATCGGTTAATTCGTCATCCGAATCATCATCATCCGAATCTTTAATCTTAACCGTTGATTTAGCTGTTGTTTTAACAGTTGTTTCTGTAGGTTTTACTTTATCCGTTTTAGCTTTGGTGGCTGGCGATGTATCTTCGGTAGGTGCCTCTGAGACTGTCTCATCTTTACTTTCCTCTGAAACAGTCGTTTCTTTTGGTGTCTCAGTAGTTACTGAAGTCGTTTCCTCTTTTGACCCTTTTGTTGTAGTCTCATCTGTAGTGGCCTTTGTGGTAGCCTTATCCTCTGGTGCCTCTGTTTTTTGCGTTGTAGTTGGAACAATTGTGGTAGTGGTTGAATCTTGTGGAGGTGAAGTTGATACTGAGGTTGTGATTTCAGAGCTAGCTGGTGTTGTCTTATCTTCTGGTAGCTTTGTTGTCATATTCATAACAGATTCTGTTGTTCCCTCAGAGGTTGTTGTCACTGTTGTTTTAACAGTCGACATTTCTGTTGACGTTGCATTTTCTGGGATTTGCTCTTTTGGTCCAATTTCTGTAGTGTTTTTGTCTGCCGACTATGCAAGAAACACAGAAAAATTGCATTAAATACAACATTCGAACTGTTAGGTAATAAACTCAATACACCAGACTTCCCTCATAAAATCAAATTTACCTTTGAGTCTCCAACTCTAGTCACAACTCTGGTGTGAACCGGACAAAAACCAAGTATTGTAAAAGGCCAGAAACTAGAACACTGCAATTAAAACAACATTGGTCAAATCGATATCAATCACAAACATTGGACAAAAAAGACTCACATCAAAAAAAGTAGATTCAACTGGACAGCCCAAACGGAGAGGACAAATGAATAGATTATTGTTTTATGTACAGAAGCGCGAATCGATAGTAAACTCACCTTGCGTAAAACAAGTCAAAACGATTACACTAAACCATAATTTCATAGCTAACAAGTGTGTCACAAATATATCTGTTTCAAAATGGTGTTAAAAGAGTTTATCAATACTGGTAATCAAGTGTAAATAAAATGCAATTTAATGTAATGAATTTACTGATCGATAGTTTGCTTTCAACGGAAAGTGAGAAGCTCATTATTCAAACAATCATCGTATTTGTTTAACCAAGCAGCTTGTTCAATAGTTGACACTTGTTCAGTCTATATCACTTTTCAAAAGCCATTGTTTAAGATGTTTTAGATCAACAATTTTTCCGATCAAACCTTTCAGGTTCTGGTTAAAAACAAGTCAACAAACAAATCAACACTGAAGATGATATTCTTGTGATTTTGAGTTTAATAATTCTGTAAATTGTGACTTTGAAAAACAAAATTCTCGTGATTTTAGCGTAAAAAATTGAACGGAAAATGTTGGTATTACTGATTATCTAACGTCCTTCGCTTTATTTAATCATCATGCTTGATTGGTTGGTAACGTTATAATTTTATATAACTTTGATTATCATTAAGCTAAGAATACCATTTTTAACTCTAGGGGTTAAATTAGCACTCATGTTTTTAACCTTGAATAAAGGGCTGTGAATATGATTTTATTGCTTAAGGATTGCTTAATGACTAATAAACAGCTTAACAATTAACAAATACCGGATTAACACTGAGCTTTTCAAAGAGTCTTTGGTTGAGTTGCAAGTTAAGAGTAATGCTTAAGAGTTAACATGAAAAGTTGATTTACTGCTGTAAAAAAATGGGAAATTCAATTATTTTTAAGTTCTTTTCTTCCTTTTTTCACAGATTCATTTTTAATTACATATTATTCAATAATTTTACTCATGTAATAACAATGTATTCAATTGTGAATAAGATGACAATCGAAAGTCTAACTTTTACTATTCAACTTTCCTCATTCCAAGACAATGAAACTTGTTGAGATATTACATCAATAGTGAACAACTTGTACCAATATAAAAGTAGACTATTGGTTGATTGATCAACTTTCAATCTAATTGTGAGTCTACTTGGAGGGTGAAGCAGGTAATTTTAGGCGATTAACAGGACGAGTTACCTGGAAAATCCCGATCAAATGGTTAATTGACTCATGGTAAAATGTCTTGTCAAAAGACCATCATTTTAAACCATTGAACAATTTTTACCGTCCCTTGTTGGAGCAATTATTATCCAATCTGTTGATTCACATTTTTCATTTTCTGGAAAATTTGACTCAATTTAATCTACCTTAAGATCAAATGATTGGGAAAATTGATTAACAGCTTTTAAAAAGCCACATTAGTTAACAAATCACAAGTTATGTCCAATACACTGTATAAAGGAAACAATGGCAATGATACAGTTAACCATAGTTGTAAAGGTGATGAGAAAAGTGAAAAACCCAGCAAAAAACATTCAAGTTGAAATAATTTCAAGACTGTAACTCAATCTCCAGTTGACCCTGAACCCAATGTGACTAACATTCACCATCATAATGACCAATCATCAGTACAGAGTACAGTTTAGTACATTAAGGTAGGTAATAAAAAGAATGCAAAGAAAATGGTAAAAAGAAAGAAAAAGAAAAATGGTGAAACTTGGAAAGCAAAATTTGTCTAAATAGGCAACAAATAAAAAACGGTTGCTTACTAAGGTTCAATTTTTAAGGCTGTTTATTAGTTGAAACTGAAAGTTTGAACTGTTGATTAAGATAATAGATGATCTGGAAAGCTCCAAAGATGACAAGATTTGCCATTCTCTTTCGTTTACCGAGTGAGCGAAAGTTTTCTTAATGTAATTTGCCTAAAGCATTCTTATCTTTTTCACTGTCTTATTTTCTGGTTCTCCCTTTTTTTACATGGTGAAGGTTGAGTTTTACTTTTCATCTAAACTTGTTCCTCTAGCTAAAGATTTTCCCGGTGCATCATCCTTATCATCCCATATCATTATCATCTTCGTCATCCACTGAAATATAAGATAAACCTTATTTTAACAGTTTTTCAAATCAGTTTAAATTCTAACCTTATTCTCATTGGTTCTTCTCGTTTTTTTTGTGTCGTCAAGTTTTTCAACTCACAGCTGGCTTACACTTGCCACCAGTTTATTTAGACTTTCATTCTGGTTGTCCTTTGTTTCGATTGAGTTTGTATTTCAAGTGCATTCTTTTCATCCACCTCAAGTTTCATCAATAATTTACAATGGCGTTGTTGGTTAATGCCGTTTTAACAGAAAATGTCAACGAAGTTATTAGGTAAGTCACAATAAACCTTTTCTTTGATAATTTCTCTCAAGAATGTCTTGCTTTTTTTGTATCGATTTGATACGGTGAGGTTATTTTTCAATGCTGATTTGTATTCTGAAAATTCTGTAGCTACATGTTATTGACTTATGTAAAGTTGATAAATGACATTGAAAAATGAAACTACATGAAATAGGCAAACTAATTAACTTGATTTATCTTTGAACTTTAATTTACTAATTACTTACTAATTTCTTTTCTCTTTTCATTTTTCTTGTTTTTGCTTTCATTTATAAAAACAGAACTGAAACTGATGAAGATAGATTGAAATTTAAGATTGAAGAGCTTAAACAAGTTTGTTTTGAAGAGGTCAAAGCTCATCCTAATGATTATGATCCAAGAGATGTTAAAGCTTTGGAGGCTGACAGTGAAACTGGAATCATGTTATTTCTTGAATCAAATGATTGGAAAGTTGAACCTGCTTTGGAAGCAATCAGGCGTCATTGTTCATACAGAAGAGAGAATGGAGTTTTAGACTTGAAGGTTACCGATATTCCAGTTGAAGTTCATCAAACAGGATTATTTATGGCTAAAGGTTTCGATAAAGCTGGCCATCCTTTGTTCTACATCCGTCTCTCCGTTTCACCTGGACCTAAAGAGATGCATCCATTGATTATCAAACAATTTTTACTTAACTGTGAATCCGTCAGAAATATGGTTCTTGAAAAAAACAAAAAACTTGCCATTATATTCGATTGCAGACAAGCTCAAGTTGATATCGGATTATTACGGGAAATTCTTGACATTTACACTCAAAAGTATCCTCCTGCAGCCGAATATATTGCCTTTTTGGACATGAACTTTGGCTTTAAAATGATTCTACAAATTATCAAGTATTTCTTCCCTAAATATTTATGGAAAAAGATGATCTTCATTGACCAGGAAGCTTTAAAAACCATGGTGGATCAAGATAATTTGCCATACTATTTAGATGGAAAAATTGAACCTTTGTCAAAATCTGAGATCTCTGAATGCCCCAACCTCGCTGATTATGCTAAGGCCAACAATATCAAAGATAAAGTCTATGAGAAAATGAAGTCACATCTTGACAAGCAACTCTCAAACGATTCTTGAATGCTTCCAATTTTATACTCAATATTTTCAGCTTTAAGCCTGTATATATTCATTTTCAGTACACTCTTGTAAACTCATGCATTTACCTTTTTAATTGACCAATTATGGTCTTATTTTTAAACATTGGAAAACTTTGTATTGTTTGTAGTGTGCAAAATGCTAAACAATAAATCTTGATTGAATCATGACATAGTTCCGCAATCTGAAGTTGAATCCTCCATGAAAATCCTTTGCCCAATGTTTGAGCTCGAGTTGAACCAAGTTAATGGTAAAAACAGCTAACATGATTAGTAAATCTGAGATAAGCGAAGTGGAAAGAGTTTAAATCGCAACAAAAGTTGAAATTAATTTGATTATCTAACTTTATCCAAGAAACTCATGTTTTTTTCTGGTAAAGAATGTCCAACAACTTAATACTTTATGATTTAGTGTCTGGCAAGTCGTTAATTACATTCCCATATCCATTCTTAATTGAATAGGGAACTGAATCTACGAACCATTGAAATTGCTCAAATACATTCAAACAGAATTAACGTAATCGGAACCATTGAAATGACAACTCATGAATAAATCATTAACAAGTTTTTATATGATATTTAATATAAGCATTTTAATGGCCTTATTCTGACCCAACTTGGTCAAATTGAAAACCTAAATTGTAAATAACAAGATCCTATGCAATTTATCACCACTGATCTATTCAATTACCAAGATTGATTTTTACAGGAACAAAAGGAGAAGCAGTAAAACCAATTCCTATCTTAAAGGCAAGAAAACAGTTTCACCAGAAAAAAATAGATGAAGCTAATTGTTGATGAAAGATTCACTAAAATGGTTGCCCAAGAAAAGACACAATTGATCCATACAAGTAAAGCTCACCACAAGAAAGTAAACTTGCTCATTTATCTAAATTCAATTTAATCTGTTGATTACAATGTCAGGTTTTATCAACCAATTAGCTAAATAGCAATTAATTCAATCACTTAGGATGTAAGATTGAAACAAAAGTCACAAAAGTCGCCAAAAATAGAGCAAATTGTATGCATGCAGATGATATAACCATTGAATCCAGCGAGTAAAATTAAATCAAGCCAACAGAAAGAACAGCAATTTTGCCTATCTAATTCAATTTAATCTATTGATTAGAATGCACGATCTTATAAACTATTTAGTTAAATAGCAATTAATTCAATAAATAAGCAAGATGAGATAAATTGTAGAAGCATCACAAAAAGGAGCGTAAAAAGTGTTGAGAGTATGGATACATCAACACAACCAGCAAAAAAAACAGCAAACTTCTTGACAATATAATAAGACTTTCAATTGATTAATCATTTATAATACAACTTGAGAAGCAAATATAATCAAAATAATAAATAAATCACACTTAATTGGTAAACATAAAAGATGGCAAGTTGAACAATAATGTAAAAAAACATAAAACTAGGTTGAAAAGGAAAGGGCAAAAACAAAGGTTAAGGCTCAACATGGCAACAGTTACCAACACCGGAATGGCGTAAAGAGCATAAAAAGCATAAAAGCGTTGTAATAACGGAAATGTCCAGCTGATGGTTTGAATTTGTAAATAATGTTTTTATCTGGTCAAGCTGAAAGATTAACCCACAATTTTTGAAACAATATGGATTTACCATAAATGTGGGTAAAAACTGGTGCAAAAGTATAGTCACTCAAAGTGTCTTTGGGTTTAAACAAGTGAATGGTAAAAATAAAGGTTGAAATGAAAAAGGATCATAACCAGCCTATCAAAGCCAACTTCATATGCATCTGTGGTTCCACTTGATTCTTATTATTATTATTATCATCATCATCAAGTATATATTATGAACATCTACTTTTCTCATCACATCAATGATTATGATTCTGATGAGCATTTTTACATGGAAATGAACAGTGAAAAGATGTTGATGTGGAAAGGTTTTCACCATGAAACTGGTTAAATGAAAAAAAAAGCTGTTGACTAAACCTTGACTAACAAACCTGGAATGAAAATAAAAATGAAGATGATTAAAGGTGATGAGGAATAATGAGAGATGAAAATGAGAGATCAATTGATAACAAGGAATAGACCTGCAATGGTTAACCTTAAACTCCCCTGGTACCAATGATTAAACAGTTAACCTAACCTTGTATACTGTTATCATGACTACATTTGAGCATTTTTGTTTTCCCATCAACCAAAATAAAGGCAAATGTCATCAGATGAAATACACACACAGAGAGAGTTTATCAAAATGAGAAAAAGTTGAACTTAATCTGACAAACAGTAGACATAACAAGGTACTGGAAGGGTTTGCAAAGTTAGATCTAACTATCACTATCGAGTCGATGCAAGGCACAGCGAAGTAACAGTTCGTAGTAAGGTTAACCATTGTAATGTAACATGGAAAGGCAAGGAAAGAGGAAAAAAGAAATCAAGAAAATCTGAGAAAAAAAAGTCACTTTTCACATTTCAACTTGCCTTTCAATCAACACACATTCAACCCATAAAACTTATCCATGCTTCAATCATCATCTCATTATCATTACATTATCATCACTTGAACCTCATCACAGTTATTATTACTTTTTATCATCATCATCATCATCATCATCATCATCATCATCATCATCAACAAGATGAAACTTTTGAATTGGTTAAACCAGAAAAGTTGTTTACTTTCAAGTTCAAGTTGAACCATTGTTTTTATTTTTGCCACAATTTGCCAGATTATTTTGATTTGTTGTTGTTGTCCCCTAATCATGGACTATTGTGATGAAAATTTGACCCTTTTGATAACCTCTTCACTCTCAACTGATAGGTCAAATCTTGTGCACAATTATGATGAATCACATTTGGCAACTTTGTACAATTACTTTTGTCCAATCATTATTGTTGCCTGTCTCTCCTCTGTCCTACTCAATGGCATCTTAATCAAAGTCAGAGGTTCTCGTTACATTAATGGTTCACCGATATTGACTCTATCCTTGAACCTGGCTGCCACCGATGCAATCGCCTCATTCCTCACTGTCCTTGTAATCATCTTTTCATCGTATCTGCCGGTTGTCCAAGGAATCCAATTGAACAAGTGCATCTTGCTAACACTGGAAGTTGCTCGACTAACATCACTCTTTGCCTCGGTACTTCACCTATTGGCCTTAACCTGGCTTCACTATCAAGGCACAGTCAATCCAATCCATCATCGGTAAGACTAACCAACAATTAAATAAATATTCAAATCAACAACTAAATCAATAGTTAACATTTTCCCTCCAATAAGGTTTTGGTTCGATGACAGTTCAATCAAAGCATTTTCAATTGAAAATATCGACAAATTTCAAACTCCAAATCAGTTTCAAAACATGAGTTTCGTTCAGTTTTTAAAATTGAAACTGTTTAAAGATAACTCGAACTCTTCGAATTTCTTTTTCCAAATTCTTCTCATTTAATCGCTTGATATGAATTACAATTGAACTTTTGGACAATTTTTTAGGCAAAATTTTTCAGTTAATTTCCAATTTTAAATTCGATATTTAATTATAAGAAATTTATGCAAATCAGAAAACAATTTATTATTTCAAACTAATATTGTCAGTAAATCATTGAAATGAAAAATTCTGTGGAACATTATAATAATTCAATTTTAATCAATTTTGCATGGAATGGTAAATGATTGAGTGAAAACAAAATGAATTTGATTATGAAAAATTGAGAAAAATTTAAATCAATCGAATCTAATTGAAGAGAATCAAATTAATCAAAATTTTCAACCGAAAGTTAATTTGATAAAGTTGACTGTTCAAGTACAAAATTGTTTAGTTATTTTTGTCTCAAATGAAACTCCCTTCCCAGTAAATATCAATGATTAAGATTTAATTTTGGAATTAGATGATCATTTTTCAAATTGTTTCACTAATTAAATCTATTTAACCATGTTAAATGGGAAACTCTTTTCTTCTGGTTTACCCATTGGAACAATAATTGACCAGTCAGTTGTCCGGTTCTTGTCCAGATTCGAGTGTAAACTTGAGTAAAACTTATTTACAGTCAATTTAGTCGTTTTAAGCTAATTGCTTTTTTCCCTTCAACCAAAGTTAATTAACTAATTTTCATCGTTGATTAACATTTTCTTGGACAAATTGATTTACGATTCAATGGAATGGCAAGAAAGGAAAGAAAAAAAAATTGTCATTCAATTTTGGCGGTTTACTTGTTGACTGTTTATCTCGAGTTAATTGAAAAACAATTCAAGGTTTGGCTCTTTTAATGTTACATTTTACTTTTAATTGCTTTTCAGTTTGATTATTGTAAATACAATTCAATGCTCGGATATAAAGCTCTTCAATTCCCAGTTGAAAACTCGTCTCAATTCCAATTCAATATGAAGATATTTGCGTCACAAATTATCCCTTTAAATCTCACCAACGAATCAAGTTTGGAAGCTAAAAATTTTTCCTTCTCCAAACAGATTTACTTAATCACTGTTAATTCTTTATCTAATTATTTCTAATCGAAACACATGTTCCATCAATTTAACAATTAGTAAACTTGGATAATTTTTCGAATCAAGAAAAGGTTCAGAGAATTGAATTTTCAATGAAATGGCATCTATCGAGGGATTTCACAGTAAAATGACGAGTAAAGCTGCAAGCTGATTGTAAACAGAAAATCAAGATTTGTCTCTCGTTCTAATTTTATAATTATAATACGATGAAATCAACAAGTCGCCTACACTCATTTCAGATTGATGAATGATGAATGGCTGAATTAAATAAGGCATTTCATGGAAAGACTTTGCTGTTATTGTGAAAATATTCAATTAATTTTCATCATCTTACTGGAGTGATGGTCGAGGAATGATACAACTGAGAGATGCAACTGAAACTTTGCTTCTCCACTTCAATATCAACAGTATCGAACGATGGAAAGCAATAACAGCATTTGTTATCTGCTAGTAACAATCAAATCAACGCACCATGTTTGGTGAATCGTTAAAAGAACAAAGAATGAAGGTTTAGATGAAATTATGTGCATGTTTTATCCTGTCAATTGGAACCTCGACAATTGTGATTTACACTTGAATGGAAATGATGGTAAAGATAAATGCGGGTTTACATAAAGATTCTGAAGAATCTCTTCTATTGCAGCAAAATGGTCAAAGAATAGTTGAAGCATGACTTTCTGTAAATCTTACAATGAATTTTACAATTTTGTTCTATGATTTGTTTCTCGAATCTTTTCCAATGAACTTCACCCCAACGAGCTAAGCGAGTTTAAAGTTGAATAAAATGTGATTTTTCATCCATTAGCTTTACTCCCAGTTGTTGACCACTTTCACATTTTTTCATTATCTTTGGTTTCTTTATGCTCGACCAAAGACGATCTCAGCCAAAGATCGTCAATCATAATCTGAACCAAGACCCTGATTTTGAGGACTTTTATTCATTCTTTCAAGGGTTGAGCTAGCATTCAATTTCATAACTAAACTTCATTCGATTAATGTTGATATAAAATGATTTCTGATGAAAACCACTTTAATGTTGATTCGTTTCTCTTGAAACATTGCAACGTTTTCAGAGTTTCTGTGAATGCTGAAAGCGTTTTCCATTAGAAAGATTTTCCTTTGGTCATTTTGTTTTTGTTGATTTACCTTTCAATCATGATGAGTAACAATCTTGTATGACCTGTAAACCAACCCACAGGCTATCATTATCGATGTATTACAAATGTACTAAAAAAAGACTGATAAACTGGAAAGTGAACAATATCAATAGAAAGAAAGAAAAACCTAAAATCTATTTACCTATTTATATCATCCAATTGATTTTACATGATATTGATTTTTTGATTCAATGTCAATATTGATGTGTATAGTGTTGTACCAGCAAACAAAAACAACAGCTAGTTATTGTTTGAACTTGGGATTGTTGAAACTTCCTAATTTGCTCATCATCACTAAATTTAGTCTCAAAAGTTTACTCAACTAATCTTTCCAAAATATTATTATAATGGTTATACAATGAGGCGACTCAAATTATTGTGATGTGAAACCATTAACTGATTACCATTTCAAATGTGCAAAATTGTTTTGGTGCCATAAAATGCGACTCTTTGTTACAGGACAATTAAGAGTTTTAATGTTGTCACTGGAGCCTTTGCAAACCATAAATCAGAGTTAACATTCATCTCGATGTCACTTTAATTTAGCCAACAAATCTTTTTGACAATTTACTTAGCAGCTCTCCATTAGTCAACCTTAATCTCAACCCAACTGAGCAGACAACAGTTGAACACATTGAACCATTTCAGTTGATGCAAATAACAGGCAACATTGTTACCAGAAAGCAAGAGATGTTACCAATTCATTGGGTTTACCTAATTCACATTTTAACACCAATTGATTGAAGTTTTCAATTCTTTGCTTTGAAAGGATATTTTCTGGTAAAAAGCTGGTTTGCCTTTCTTCAAAGATTTACTTGAACCTGATAGAGTGTAATGTAAATTTGCTAGAAAGATTCAGTTGCTCACATTATTCAGTTCATTGTGGAAACAACAAAAATCCTTTTCTTTTCTCAATCTTTTTTTTCCTGTAATTGAGTGATTAGCTGAATTGAAGCCCGATTTTGGGTTGAATAATTTTTCCTTGTTAATTTACCATTATCTTCAACAACATTGCATGATGAACCATTGTTGTGACAGTCAATTGAGCGATAAGAAAGAGTTGAAAAGCAGATGAACAACTTGAAGTGTAATCAAAGTTGATTCAAGAAGTGAAGAGCAAAAAAAAAGACAAAACTTGATAACTTGTTATCTTCATCTTCAGATTCATCAAATCAACATCATCCATTCTTAACCGTCAACCCGATAGAATTGAAAGTTTCAATTTCTGTTCACTTTTTTTTCAATTTCACCCAATCTCGCTACAAGCAATGGATTCCCATCCATCATTTCAAACAAAATCATTATACTATTCATCATCACCACAAACAACACAATATTGAACCGTATGATTCTTGGAAAGGAAAAGTATCAATTCTGAAGAAAAACGAAAAGAAAAATGAACAAAATTGATTTTTCAACATTTACTCATCACAACAGACTCAATATTGACTCGATAAACATATGACTCGAAGAGATATTCAAAGTCTATCTGGTTATTGATTATTTTATTGGTTCTGATTCATGTTTAAATAGCATCAAAATATGTTAATTTCAAGTTCCGATTAGAGTAAGTTGCGAAATGAACTGAGCAATGATAAAATCGGAAACAGAATCAAAAGTACCTTTTGAACTCTCACATTCAACTTCACCAAATTTTTTGCACCTTCATTCACAATATTTTTGTATCAATATTTATTTTCATGTTTGGAACTTTTCTTTCCAGGAAAAAGAAATTTAATCCAAAATTTGAAGCAACATATTCATTTCAACTTTTCACCTTTAAACTTCATTAATATTGATTAGGTTTAATCTGACAATTGAACTTGTTAATTGAACAATCCGTGTAATTGCTAATAATGAGTTGACTGGGAACATGTAAAGTCATTGGACTGACAAAATGTTACGATTAAATGAAGGAAAAATAAAGTCTAATAATCATTAAGGCAAGTGTAAAATGGTTGCATTTGTTGATTTACTTGTTTATAAGTTGATCAGCTAATTGATTACACTTCAGCAACTTTGTTGATTCATATTGAGCGATATTTTTATGTCTATAATGATAGTCACTTCGTGTTGATTTATAAACACATTTGTACAAAAGGGTAAAGTTGAATTTAAACATTGATTTTGCATTGATCGCAGTATCGAGAGACACTAGATGTCAAATTGATTGAACACTCTAAAGGTTGCAATCAATTTTCTTGACATTTAATCTTTACTCTAATAAACAAATCGTTTCAAGACGAATCAACGGGCAAAACGAAGATTTATTGAGATTTGGTGAAAGATTGTTCAAGCTCACTAACTGTTTAACGAAATCTAAGTTCAATCAAAAAAATCAAATTGATTATTCATGAAAATATTGTGAAGCAAGAATTTTCTTTCATCTTGAAGGTGCTATTTTATTTCAATGACAAGTAAAATTCAACTGACAAGCTGAACAATTGGTTTTCACAATAAGTCAATTGCCGAGTAAACTTTTAATGATGAATTGCCTGAATAATCGGAAAATGTATAAACATTCATTATTGAATTTATGATTGA